GGAATAGTTGATTGCTAGCAGTCCAAGGGTTGCTGAAAGGGTTGCTAAATGTTCTTTTTCTCAATTTGGGTACATCATATCTTTTAACTTAAATAACGTGTTTTAATGCTGTGAAAGATGCCTCATGGACGTGGTAACTATATTTCGAAAAACCCCTCGTCGTTTACGCGGATTTACTGGAAAATCGTCAATTCGGTTGATATTCCTAAAAATTTAATATAACTGAAAGTCAACTTAAGGAGCTTTTGCGCTCTCCCCCTCATCTCAACAGGCCCTGAAATAAGAACCTTATTTATTATCCACCTGCGTTAGTTATTGTACAGAAAACGCACCAAACGAATACAAATTTCGCACGATGTTTTGTACAGAGTAGCTAACCAATATTATGACAGGTCCCAGCCAGGCAGCTGTGCCTTTCGTAAACGGTCGGTGCCATTTTTAAGAAAATGGAAAATTTTTGACCTGTTATTGAGAGTGTTTTTACTGAGAAGAAAGAAAATCGCAGGCCAGGGTCAGAATCAAGCCAGGGGGTTGGTTAAATGTGATCATCGAACAGTAAATGGCACACCTTCCATACAAAAACAAAATTTGCATTACACGTAATATTGATAATTACCAACAATTAAATACAGCTGTGATATTTTAAGTTACTGTATGGTTTAAGCTATTTTCACTCCAGGGCAAAATTAATTTTGATACTGTTTTATACTGCGTTTTGTGAAATGAAATTTGAAACTTGTCAAAAACACAAATCTTTGCGAATGAAATACCTGTCCCCAGATGCTGGAATATCTTTGGTAGGTGCCAAAGATAAAATATATTAAAAAGAAAACTGCTCGTCTAGGGAGGAGGTTGATAAGCGAGTTTAAAAGCAAAACACAGTAAAAAATCTAGTTTAATTAGCTGATTCAATAAAAGTTAGTTTTGGCATTGGGCAGTTGCACACAGGGATGCTACACAGTGTTTGAAGGTCACTCAAGCAAATCACTGTAGTGCATTCCATATGCCCAAATGGATTCAAATGCCTAATTGCCAAAGAAACCTTTAGTGAATAATTAACATTATACTATAATGAAATAACTAATTCAAAACTTAAGAATAACCAATAAGCATTCTCAGTCATTGTCACTGCCCATGGATGTGATCAGCTTATCTGTAGTGCGAGAATTTGTGACAACTATATGAAATCAAAATCTTAAGGATAGTAAAGTTATTCTGGATTTAAGATCTCACCATCCTGTGTTTGTTACTTCACTAGAATAATTAACATCTAATATGGCAGGATGATTGATCTTGTACAACTACAGTAATCAATGTGAACCAACAATATTTATACACTAAATTACAATGGAATCGTTAAGCAGACGCCCTGAGGAAGGAAAAAAGAGCCCACTCAGGAGAGGGGTTAGCCTCCCACGCAGCTCTTTATGCTCGTAAAGCTAAGAACGTCTACGTTAGAGGCTAGAGAGGGGTCTGCTTAAGTAAGGATGGCACAACAGTCTTGAAAGTGGGAGGGGGACGGTCTGTAATCACCCCCTCCCCTCTAAACAAAGTTACCTTTGTTTCTCTGAAGTGAAACACTATTTTGCTCTGCCACTCCTGTTAAGTGAGGCTAACAATGAAGCATTTGTATGCTGCTTGGGAGTTGTCCATTAGTGTAGAACACTTTAAATTAATTAGACTGCGAGCAGTCTCTCTTTTGCCTGAAAATCTGACAGCTCGCTGCTCATGGCTTGGCCGCTTGCACACCTCACACATTCACCTTATTGCGAGCAGGCTTGCACAGGTTTTTGACCAAAAGAGAGACTGCTCGCAGTCTATAATGGTATACAGTGGAAACCTGTCAAAACAACCTCTTTTTTTGTGGCCTTAACTAAGGTCCGATTTTTTTTCATTTTACAACCTCAATAATCAGTACACCTTGTTATAACAACAGATTACCCTTAATATTTTCTTTACAAAGTTACCTCTAATATAATCAGTTGAACAAGTAAAACAGTCAATCTGACAAATCCTTTAAAGCTTTTTTTCTTGAAAGTCAAATTTTCAAATTTTGAGCAAAATGTGTGAAAGCCCAGAGATAAGTGAGATTGATAGGCCAGGTTAAACTTTGTCACCACAGATTTCAAAAAGACTTTATCATAATGTAACATGACCACATTTTCAAGGCTGTTTGTTGTAGTAACAGGTAACACTGTACACAATGTAACCTCAACGAAGTCAACCGGGACTATGCAGACCATTGGAGGAAAAATGCAGCTATATAACAAGAACCTAATGTTTCTTCAGTACACATGTCAGGATGATATGACTTATCATTGGTGTTTCTTGGTGTTGCAGAAACTTTTGTTGGTTAGTTATTGTGTTGCCATGTGGCTATTGTTCTGTGCCTAAACTACATCAGTTTGCTGACTAGACCCATTCATGACACCAAGAAACTACCCTCTATGACTAAATTAATAATTACAAAAGTATAAGCACAGAGTAATCCTCATTATGGGAATCACTTAGCAATTTTACGATGAAATAGGGAATACCTTGCATTTTAAAGGTTTGAGGGGCAAGAAAGATAAAATTCATTACTGCTTTAGTTGCACTTTGTTGGTAAGTTATGAAACATGTTAATATTATCTTACACTGTTCTTAAATTAGAGTTTTCTACTTAACTTAAGCCTGCATAGCAAGCGTTTCTGTATGGTTTCGGAGCAACTGGAACAAGGAATGAGAGTCAAAGACTGTCAAAAAGTGGGACAAGTAAAAGAGTGGGGATGGGATGGAGAAAAAAGAAGGGAAACCCTGTTTCTTTCCTCCCTTCCCTCCCCTCCTCTTTCATTTTTTGATTCTTGTTCCATTTTTCGTGTGGCCAAAACTGAAAATCCCCATTCCTTGGTCTTTCTTTGCCCCGAAACCAAACAGAGATTCTTGCTACCCAGACTATCCTTAACTTAAAGAGCTTTTCCTTGAACTTTTAGTGGCCTGATGAAGGACGTTGTCCCCCCTTTCTGGCAATAAGTTCAAGGGAAATGTTAAGTTATAAAACCTAAAAAAGACAAATTAATGCTTCTACGTTCATTAGACCTTGCACGTAAATGCCAAAATGTTGATATTAAAATAATGATGATGTTTGTGTTAATCAGTGTGTTAAAGTACATCTCATATGTGAAAAACACTGATACCAAAATGATGATAATGATGATAGTGTTAATCAATGTGTTATTGTACATCTGTTTTATGTATGTTACTGTATCAGCAAATGCAAGTAGGTTCTCAGATACAAAGTTGATAAATGCTTGAAAGCATTGTTAAGATCCCAGTACTTTTCTGTCTATTTTTTTGAAACAGTTTTAATACACCATTCCATTCCATTCTGTAAGACAAAAGAGAGGGGAAACAAGTGTCAGCTACAGTGTAAAATCAGTTCAAATGTACCCAACCTTCAGGAACACAAAGAGTATTTCAGGGTTCATACAAAAAATTGCAACCATTTTTAAGGACTTTTCAAGGACCACATTAGATTTTCAAAGACCACCTAAAATTCTCTACATTGTTATCAATAACAGGGTATCTAAATGCTGTGACAAATGAAATTAACTTTTGGAAGTAAGACTAAATTCCAATAATGCACGGGTGTGTGGAATAAAGCCCTGAGTGACTCCAGTGATCTGACATCAAATTTGCCATTTGATTCACAGGACAAGGCTAATAATAGTATTGGAAGAAGAATGTAGTTTATCAGTAACTGTTTCAAATATTTTTCGTAGTAAAAGGCTATCACTATCTAAAACAGTAAGAAAATTAATGAAGCATCTTTAACAGTTTGTCAGAATTAACTCTTTAATACCTGTATTCCTTCTCCTGTTTTTGCTGAACATGGATGAATTTGCCATGGCCGATCCTTTATTGTATGAAGATCTAAACATTCAGATATCTAAAGGCAAGAGTGAAATTCAAATGTAACTTAAAAGTTGAATTTGAAGGCTGTTGAATACCGTTGATGGAAATCGACCCTATTTCCCAACCATCGTGTAAATTAAGTTTGTTGCTCAGGTTGGCTCAGTGCCCCATACCAAGCTTTTTCTCTAGGTTGTCTGGTTTCCCTCTCTTCAACAAAAACCGGTATCACCTTCCTAAAACATGGTTAATTTAATTAAATTTTTACTGACATACCACTTATCAACTGAAAGTGAAATCATTCAGGGAAATCTCAGTCCGAGCAATAGCAAGGTAAATACATCAAGGCCAAGGTCTGAGATCTCCCTGTAATAACCAAATGGATGAGGTTAAGTAATTTATCATATGGCCTTTTTAGCGCTATTCTTAAGAATACAACTAAAAACACCGCAAGTAGTTTTCTTAGTTGCTCATACAGGACAAGGTTAATACCTTCCTACCTACCTGCTTACCACCATTCCTACCTACCTGCTATCTACTTACTTATCTACCTCCCTACTGATCTACCTACTTTTTTACCTACACGTAACATTCCTTCCAGTCTACTGATATTAATGTGTATTAAGTAATGATCTGGGTAAGGTGGATAGTAATTTCTTTTGTTATGCGGCAACAGTGCTTTCCCCACATAGGAATGTTCTCATTTTTACACAGAGAATGCATAAACCTACATGAAGGCCGTTTATGCAATAAAATGCATTTACACTCCACTTTGAAAGGGTGTTTTTTTGTGTTAAAAGATTTTGACCAATCACAAGAGTTGAAAACAATAGCCAAGAAAAGTTTACAATTTTACATGTTCCCCACATAGGGTTTCCTTTTCATTCAAACTGAGACCAGATTTTGTTATATGGAAGATGGTTGGAAAGTGAGGATGAACATATGTACTGCTTTATGAAGTTTTGTTAACTTTTGTTGTTTAAGCCAATCAGAAGTAAGTACAGACAATAGAAAAGTTAGCACCGTTTTTGCATTCCAACATGTTCGTTGCCATTGTTGCTATCGTTCTTATCTGACCATTTCTTAAAGTTTCCACTATAATCATTCTGTTACCTCACCTCTGCTGGAGACTTGGCATTCAATAAATCTTGTTTGTTTGCAAATACAAGAACAGGGACACCACATAATTTGTCCTCATCTAAAAGGTCCTTAAATTCCTGAAATCAAAGAAAAAAATTTTTGTACTGGTGCAGTTCTTGGGGATAGCTGTATTTGTGGAGGCAGGAGAGTGGGAAGTTGCGTGTAGGTCCATGATGTTTGGTCAACAGCTCTCTCCTAAACCAAAGCAACAAATTTTCTTGCTTTGTTATATACAGGTTAAGATGCAATAGAAACAAGATGCTGTGGGAGCGTACACCTGGGCATCATTGCATTTTGCATGTGTGAGGATTTTTGGGTGAGTCAGGCATGTGTGAGTGTAGTAGTGTTGCTAATTGTTAAGGGTTGGTTGAGATGGTTAAAAAGGAGACATGGAGTCATAGTGGATGTGCTTGGTATGTAAATAGCGAGAATTTTCCCTTGGAATTCCTAACATAAACTGGTCTGTCCAACAGGAAATGCAGGTGAATACTAAGAAATGTGATGGCCTGGGAGCAACCTCTCCATTTGAAGTAGCCTGTTCCAGGCTCCCAGACACCGGGGGGGAAGACGTGAAAGTAAAGGTACATGGAGCGTAAAAGTTGGCAGTGCGGGAAAAAGGAAAAAGGAAGGGAGAGAGAGCCTGTGATCATTTATTTTCCGACCCTCTTCCACCTATTTTTGGTACGTTTGAGATAATTAGATTTTGGCTGTCAAACTGTTGAAATGTCAATGAGTTGGAATCTTTCAAATTTCTTGCGAGAGTATTTCAAGTGGTCCTAATCCCTTATGCAAGTGTGAGCAGTTTGGAGTGTAAAAAGGGGGTTGGTAGGCACACACAACTTACCTTATGTAAAAATAATGCTTGTTCCAATGAATTTTTTCTCTTATGGTTAGATTATGCTCTGGAGGGGTCTACGTTTTGATTGAGAAAATGTGATTTTTGCCGCTTGTTTCAAGCTGAGAGGTCATGACATGTATATTAATTTTCTGCGGTTATTGTTTCTGATGGGTATGATTTGCCCGCTGATGCAAGAGCATTTTCTTAAGTTGACCTCTTTTGAAACGTTAAGTTCTTCATTGCGGCTAAATAAGGGTTTTAGGTTGTTGAATTTTCTTCAAAATCCCTCCTTGATCTGAATCACTGAAAGAAATTTTCTTTTGTCCATGAATGTGATTGTTTCCCACAATGTTTTGTCACAGATTAGTGTTTTTTGCAGGATGTTTAATTCTCACGGATAGTGATTCACAGATCCAAATTTCGAAGAATGATTGCAGCTTAAACTGAAGCTACTTTAAATATGGAGAACTATGTTGTGACTTAGTCAAGATGGCTCTTTAAGCAATTATTTTTGAACTCCAGCTTGTTTTTCTAAAGACAATATGAGTTTGGACTGGTGCGCATAGTTCCTCCCATGATATCATTATCAAAACATACTTCAAAGAGCATTGGACTCAGCTCTTGTAAAGTAAAATCATCAGGTGTTGTAGTGTTTAGTAGAATCAACCTTAGTTACTTACCACGCCAGTCTCCTCTAACCGCTTTTGATCCGAGCTGTCTACAACATACACCTTGAGAAGACAAACGAAAATCCACGTATGATGTAGCTATCAAAGTAAAGCAGGCAGGGGCAGCAGGGTGGGGGGGGGGGGGGGGGAGGGGGGGGGGGGGGGAGAGGGAGGGGGGGGGGGTTTGATTTTTTAAAAAAAATTTGTAACAAAATTCCCTTCAAAAAGGGGAAAAATTCCAGGAAAAGGGCAAAATTTTTACCCCACCCCGGGCTTAAAATTTGGTACATAAAAAAAAAATAAACAAAAAAGGAAATGAAAATTTTTATGAAAAAGAATAATTCTAGTGTTTTGTTTTGTTAACACAACCACCCTCCCCTCACCCCCCCCCCTCTCTCCCCACCCCCTGATTGAACACCAAACCAAAAAAAAAAAAACAAAAGAAAAAAAAAAAAAAATCAAGGGAAGAGGGGGAGAGGAGGGGGGGGGGGGGGGGGGGGGGGGGGGGGGGGGGGGGGGGGGCAAGGGGGGGGTTGAGATGAAGGGAATGGGTGGGGGTTTGAATTTTTATAAAAAATCTGCTACTAAATTCCCTGCTAACAGGTGAATCATTCCAGTCAGATGGACAAAATTTTGACCCATCCCAGGCTTCAAATTGTGGTCAAATTCCACACTCCCTGGGCCAAAGTGATGGACAGACATCCAGGGTTTGCCTGGGAGGGGGAAGGGAGGATGCTGAATTCGAATTGATCGGCATATTACATAAACTTTCAACATCACCTACCAAACATTCAACTTGTTCAAAATAGTTTCTCCAGTATGGACGAATGGTTCTTTGTCCTTAAATGACATAAAACACCCAATCTGTTAACACTTAAACTTCAAAACTGACAAGTAACTTAAGAAAGTAGCATTAATTTTGTGTTATTTTATACAGGTAGCGCTAAAGAAGTTAAGAACAGATCGTTCAAGGAAAAACCCAACAATATTCGAAAGGAAATCTCTTTTAGTACCTCCTATGTCCCAGACATGCATCTTAAATCCATCTTTTTGGACGGATTTAATATTAAATCCCTGCAAGAGAACAAGTTCAGCTTTAGCATATTAGTATCGACCGTTCTCTAAAACAGCAATGCCGTCGAATACCTGGGTCGGCGTGATGTGCTGAATGTCCTCGTTAGCCATGAATTTCAAAATCGTTGTCTTCCCGGCATTGTCCAAACCGAGGAAGAGAATCTTCAGTTCTTTGCTACTGCTTGATTTCAGCTTTTTCAGCAGTGAAAGTAAACCCTGCAAAATACACTTTTAGCAAGTACCTATCATGCATAACAATTTTGACAATAAAATACTCACCATTTTTCGTGGAAGTCACGATATATATGTCTCCGACGCTCGATGTTACTGTATAGCAACTGAGTCGCGGCTGCTAAGCATGACGTCAGAGGTGAGTCCTTGAACTATAAACTCAGCGGACTTGTTCAGAGTAACAAGGTAACAAGGTAACAAGGTAACAGAGTAACAAGGTAACAAGGTAACAGAGTAACAAGGTAACAAGGTAACAAGGTAACAGAGTAACAGAGTAACAAGGTAACAAGGTAACAGAGTAACAAAGAGAACAAGGTAACAAGGAAACAAGGAAACAGAGTAACTAGGAAACAAGGAAACAAAGAGAACAAAGAAAAGGTTGAAGTTATAAGTTAATTAGGTAAAAGCGGTACAATATATGTCCCCATACATGAAGTACCTACCCTGCATAGTTTACTTCGTGTAGATTATCAAATTTCGGCTATGGCTTCTTTGATTTTCCTTGGAAGGGTGAGGGGTGTACGATCCATTTTCTCTTGTAAGGAAACGTTTTTGGCCCCAGTGCGCATCGCTGCATCAGGAAGAAGGTGTATGAGCCAAGAAAAGCCAATTAGCCGGTTTCCCGTTCCCATTAGAGATACATTACCACAAGATATTCGGCAAAGAATGAGTGAAGTGGAAGAGAAGGTACCACAGATCGAATGACTATGATGATGATACTTATTAATTAGCTTATATTGCGAAGATATCAATCAAGAAATTTTCTTTCAAACTCTAAACGATGACTAGCTCTTAATTAAATGACAACTACTTGATGACGCTATTATTATTCTGTCAACAATAATTAGGGTTACCAGGTGAACAATCGTACTTTATACAAATCCCATTTAAACTCAATAATTAATAATAAAAATAATAAAATATCAGCCAGGGAATGCCTTTTGAAACAAATATGTTTTAAGAGTCTTTTGGAAGCTGTTTACAAAGGATATATTTCTAATAAAAAGGGGGGAAATTTAGGGGAAGCCATATTAAAAAGATCGACACTTAGCCTAATAATCAACTTGCATGTTGGAATGCTAAGAAGTCCCGGGGGCGGGGGAGGGGGTACTCTGGATTTCAAGTGACGGGGAAGATCGAATGGGGGCAAAAACCAAAACCCCAAAATATCCGTAAGCCTTCAAACAAAACCCAAGAAAATCCCTGCACCAAAAATTAACTCCAAAAAAATCCCATGCCGCATTTCCGAACATGAAAAATTTTCAGAAAGCATTAAGTGATATAACACGAAATTTAAAAACATTAGAAATCAAGTGTTTGTGTTTGTTTATTCATCATGCCATCTAAAGTTATTATGATTATTCATATTGTTTTGAATGTCCCCCAAAAATCCCTACTTAAATCAAGCCACCCAAAAAGATACTTGCAAAATTTTCCCACCCAAAAAAATCCTTTGATCATCCCCGTCACTTGAAATCTGGAGTACCCCCCCTTTTCCCCTGGGTAAGAAGTGTACCATTATTTTATCTCAGGAGTTATCTGCTTTGGCAGATAACACCCTCCTTGACCTCCATATTTCTTCAGGTCATTCTCAGCCTTATCCAATAATTGCTAATTTCTGACCAAGCTTGAGGTTAATTCGGTTGATTATTGGCCCAGTTCTTTTTTTCGCAGTCCCAATGTTGAGGTCAATATAAACACAAAAAAGGAACAAGACAAATATCCAACCATTTTGGTCAATAAAGAATTAATATTACCAAAATTTTCTATTATAAAGCCAAAAGAAAGTTTTTCTCTTGCAGTAATAAAGCAGGCAATTTCAAGTGGGCAAGGCAGGCCCATCTTGTCTTGTTGGATAGCCAATCAGACCATAAATCAATATAGAAATTGCTTAATCTTACCCACTAGTAGAAACAGCTATGTTGTTAGGCTTCCTAGAAGAACTTTAAAACCTGATGACATGACGTGACAAACAGCAGTATTTAGCTGAGAAAGAACTGAGCCCCAAATCTTAAATGGTCATGAAAAAATCAAGCAGTGTCCTCCCCTTGCCCTACCTCCAATTGTTTTGATCTGCAAAGCATTTACAGTGTGACTACAAGAACCGAGGCCTCCCAGAAAAAAATAGAGACAAAATTTTGAAATTAGCCAATCACAAGTCAAGATCAAAACAATGAAATTGCACATAATTTGGTACTCAGAGCCAGTTCAAAATACGTAGCAAACCATTTTTCTAAAGGATATACAATAACACAATACACATAGGAATCATGACGTTTGTGTAAATCAGGCTGGAAAATGTTTTGTCAAAATCTGGGTTGGCTGGAATCAAAGCCAGCAGTAAAGAAATTTTGAACAATCTGAACTAGTAATGGCAATGACACTCCAAAGATCTTTTTATTGGAAGTGGACCTCATAGGAAACATGTTTACTTGAGCAAAATTCAAAGGTCATGCTTTGTGATTGGTGGATTTCGATCCCATTTGTTTCTGTGTTTGGGGCCGTCACCGTGACTAGGTTTGCTTCTTGTCACTTGCAAGAATAAAGCAATGTCTGCCTTGTTCCCAAGACAAAAATTTCACTAACCATGGCAATTTCCTTCGCTATTCTTAAGCAGTCTAGAGTCATTCTCAGTTTTGTTTTCGCCGTCCAAGCTGGGCGGGTGCATAAACTATGTATTGTACCCGAGCCCATACCTTTTCAAGTCACAGGCATTGTGATTCACTCCCAGGGGCCCCACTCACATATTTTAGTGACGGGGGGGTCCGAAGGATTTTTTTGGGTCTGACATTTTGGCCAAAAGGGATTTTTTTGGGTCTTTGAAAGACGCCGGGATTTTTTTGGGTCGCGAAAACAACACAGGGATTTTTTTGGTTATTGTATTTTTCATCAGCTCAAATCAAAAGTAACATAAGCGCAATTTATAGTTTTGTTTTTGACCAAAACCAAAGTTGAAGTTGGCATGTTTTAGCTTTCCAGAAGATAAATAATAAAATTTGCTGATGCAAAAACACTGAGGGTTTTTTTTGGGTATGCTAAAAAAAGTAGGGATTTTTTTTGGTAGACAAATACTGAAGTTGGGATTTTTTTGGGTATAAAATATGAACCTCTGTCGGACCCCCCCGTCATTAAAATATGTGAGTGGGGCCCCTGGGGATTCACTCCCGGAAACTGTGCCATGAAAGGGAATGAGCGGCTGTTGCAGGTTGCTCCAATTTTTTTTACCACTGCCTTTGCTTTCGGCAAACCCAGACATTGTCATTGTCATTGGCTGATTTCAAAATTTGTCTCAAAATTTTTTTTGGGTGGCCTTGGTTTGTGTAATTACTGACACAACATGCCTGCTCTCTTTCTTCAAGGGTGGCTTTTTACCGAATGTCTTCAAAGTACTAGCCCATCGACCAGATGAATTCCGAGCATTCTTCATGTACTATGATGCCTTGATGTTAAAAGAAGGTAACCTAACCAAGGCCGAGAAAGAAATGATCGTGGTAGCAACAAGTGCTGCTAATAACTGCACATATTGTGTTATTGCCCATGGTGCACTATTGAGGATCTACTCTAAGAACCCCTTGCTAGGTGATCAGGTAAATTTCTGTTAATATTTCTATTACATTTAAATGATTAATAGCCCATGAACAGGTTCCCAAGGGGGACAGAGCAAAAAAGAAAATTGGTGAGCGAAGCAAGCCAAGTGTGGTGTGGGGGAGAAAAATGGTGGGGGAGCCGGTAGACTTTGTGTTGATGCTGACCATCCATGATACTAGATTCTGGTATCATGATCTGATTGGTCAGATCACTAACTGTTGACAAGTGAGTAATAAATATAATTGACAAAACACCCAATGCTTCACTTGCCGATTTCATTTTCCGCCCTGCTCCACTTGGGAGCCCGTTCACAGGCTAATCAATAAATAATCAGAAAGGAACTATCCCTCCTACCAATAAGGCACATTGACATCATTTACAAATAATTTTTTGCTTTTTCAGATTGAGTGACCCACACAAGCACTCATGCATGTGTGGGTCAATTAGTTGTGTTTGTCTGACCCTTTTTCTTTAAGAGACTTGAGTGACAAATAGTCTTTTCTTCATATTTGCTTTTGCTGTTCAGTCCTGTATTTTAGTAAGCTCTCTATTTTTACATGGCAAGTGATAGCTCCTCACTTTTGTGGGCCACTCACCCATGACTTCACATAATATGCCCTTAATTATGGAGAGCTTGTTCACAGGCTATCCTATTGTGTTGGTTTAATGCACTTGAACTCTTACTTAAGTTTAAACCAGCAGATGTGTACTGTGTTTGTCACTGATTTTATGTCTGTTCAGAACAAAGGTGTTTTTTATAATCAGGAATTGTAATTCTTTTTTGTATGCTTCCAAAAGTGCTTTAAAAAGAATCCTCAACATGTGAAAAATTTGTTTTGGTAATACAGTGAAAGCTAGAAAGTGGACAATCTTAATGTTACATGTAATTATAACTGAAATGAACTTGTTATTCACTTACAATATTCCATTGTTTTTGCCATTTCCCAAATTAGTGGCCATTAATTTGCTTGTGTTTTTTAATCCATTTCTCTTAACTTGGTTTCCACTGTTTTCTCTATCATCATAGTTTATTACTTTAATACTATTCAGAATTTATAATCATTTTAGGTTGCAGCTAACTGGCACTGTGCAGATCTAACAGAGAGAGAGAAAGCCATCATTGAGTTTGCCATGCAGGTGTCCAGGTCAGAAACAATAAAAGATGAGCACATTAAAGCTTTAGAAACGCATGGCCTGAATAGTGAAGATGCCTGGGATATTGGTGCCATTGCTGGACTGTTTGCATTGTCTAACAGAATGGCCCATTTGACCAACATGCGACCAAACGATGAGTTCTATTTGTTGGGCAGAATCAAGAAAGATAAAAAGGAGTGAGGTTCTTATCTGTTTAGCTGTAAACAGAGAATTAACTAAGAAGTGATATTTTTTTAAAAAACAAGGCATAATGCAATGAACTTCAAGAGTTCTAGCAAAAGAAACATTTTAAACCTATTTTATATGACGCTGTTCTGTAGCTGCTTCTTGCATAAAGTACAGTTAAACTCAAGTTTCAAGTTTATTAAGAAAAATTGAGAAATTGACAAAACTGACATAGAATAAACTGAAGTCTCACTTAATTTAATTGACCAGACTAAGGAGGGAAACAAAGTTATTGAAGACTTTAAATTGCAGTTTTCCACTCCAAGAAATAACAAGAAAGTTGCGTTATATGAATAACTAAATCAAATGAAGCATTGAAACAAGAATCACTCGTGTGTGAAAGAAGCAGTGAGCCGTGGCCCGGCATGCTGCATGCAAGAATATGGCTGTTCCGTACATGCACTAAAGCCAAAGTTATAGAGCATCAAACACGAAGGGGCGAGACCTTGAAAAATGGGTGCGAGCCTCCTTAAACCCGCACTCAGTTTCAGAGACGACCAATTAAAAATCAGTACCTTATTTTAATGCGGCCGAGAACCAAAAAATCAGACCTGGCATACATTACGTTATAAATTAAAACATTGTCAATATTCTATGAAGACAAAAAATTTTGTTTCAGTGAAAGGCAAAGAGAACTGCAACTTTGCGAGACATCGTGAAAAGGTATATTGATAAGCAAAGGTTGCCCAAGCGTAATATGAGTGTTTGTATATGATGGAAAATAAAACTTACCATAAGTACAATGTTTCATCAACTGAAGATTTGACTAGGCATTTTATTACTACATAGTTTCGTACTGCACGATGGTGTAGCGCTCTTCAGATGAAATAAAACTTACATCAAATCTGTAACGTTGTCAGGCCAGATGATGTTAAACTGCTCAAATCGCGCTGAAACTTGTAGAAAGAAAGACAACGACACCTGCGAGCAGTGGTTTCTCCAGGCCGCTACGCCAGCATAGCGTCCGGCCTGGAGAAACCACTGCTCGCTGTTTGTGAAAAGGTTTACCCCTTAATTTAAATTAATTAAAGAAAGTTTGATTTCTTATAAAAACGGCTCTTCATTTCCGATACAAACTCTCAGTATCATACTTTCTTCGCATTTATCATTTTGTCCAGCTTAGAGACTTCGAAAAAAAATAACTTCTTCACAACAATCGAAACTATGAAATAGAAATAAAGTTGAAATTATATGCAAATTGTAGGTAGTTGATTTCTACGCATCCGTGTCACAAGCAACTTTAAAACCGCAAAAACGCTCTGGGGCACTTTCAAATTTTAAATATTTTAAAACTTGTTTCAATTCACTGGTTATTATGCAGTTAAATTATACGCAGTTTTACGCAGAAATTAACAGCAAAATGGAAACTTTTGTCAACAGAAGACAGAATAGATCTTCTTCTTTAAATTCGAATCCACAATGGATAGAAAATGTGCTTTTAAAATTGCAAGCCACTGAGCGAATTCAAGATAGCGTCGAGGAAAGTTTGGGATTAGTGCAAGCTGTAGTGAATATTTTGCTCTCTGCTGTTGCAAACTACGACGCGAAGTTTTCGTTTCATCTTGTTGATTCGTCGAGTTTCTTCGTCGCCAAAGCTGCCAACCATTTTGAATTGCTCGTTTTCCTCAGTTCATGTTGTCTTCGACCTGGAGACGTTCGTTTTCAAGGAGATATGGCATGCCCGGGACTTGCAGTGATCGAGTTGTCAAAGAATACGGATTCTCACAGAACCTGGAAAAACCTTTGTAGGACATCAAAGTCAGGAAAAGCCTATTTGTCGTCAAAAATGTTCCGTTCGGAGCTATCCAGGCTTCTCTCCAAACTTTTGGAAGATATGTCGTACTTACAGAATTACCACAACAGAACAATGGAAGGTATAGAGATAAAGAACCTTTCAAAAGAAGATATTTGTCTGAAGATGAATATCCGAGGTTTGAATTTAATTGTGGATTTAGTAGCAGCGATTGACTTTGAAGGCGTGTGGCCCGGCTCTGACGAGGTTTCAATAGTAGGCGAAAAATCTGGCAAACACATATCCAACACACGATCTAAAAGAAAGCCAGTTAACTGCGGGGTTCAGCTAGTTTCCAAATCTACTCCCAAAGAATATCATTGGAAAATTTGGTTCTGCAAAGCGGAAAGGTTAGAGCTAAATTTTAACAGGTTTTCCCAACGACAAAAGTGTTTTCAGCTTTTAAAAGCATTTGTTTACAGCGAGCTTGGTTGCGACTTTATCAAACCGTACCACTTACAAACTGTTTTGCTTTATGAAAGCGCAAAATTTCCAGATGAAAGTCAGTGGACGCTTGAAAAATTGCCTGAGCGTTTCTGTGGACTTATAAATCTTCTACAGTCTTTTGTCAACGACAAATGTTGTCCTCATTTTTTCATTCCGTCGCTGAATTTGTTCACAGCTTTAAGTAGTCAACATCAGCGAATATTCCGCCAAAGGGTAAAATTTCTCAAAGACAGTTATGGGAACTTCATCGACAACAGATTTCCCGAGCAAGACATAAACACATTTTCAACACGAGGCCATTTCTACAGCGTGCAAAGATAATTATAAACTTTGTCTGGATGAGTCCTAGACTCGGTCAAAATTTTACTCTCGGTAACAGTGTTTTAACATCGTAACACTATACAATCTCTCTTACCATCCATAATATAAGGCTAAATTGTAAGCTTACACCGTTTTTAAAATTTCCAAATGCTGCAAACCGGACATAAAAAAGTGATAATTAATTGACATAAGCTTATGTATTAGCGCCTTTCTATGCCTGAGGGCATTTAAGAAAAGTAGAAAACTTTGAAAAAACTGCACCTATGATTTACTGAGCAGATTTGTATGTAAGTGGCGAGAACGATTTTATCTTTCATGTTGTGATCTAGAGCTCAATTACGTACGCGTAATGAGATGTGCAGTTTTAATGTGAACTGAGAGCTCTATTGGCCATTGGTTTTGTATTATTGGTGGCTCCTAAAAGAGCCGTTTTTAGAGATCTTGAACTGAATTCACTGCTTGCTTTTCTTTTCGTGTTTCTTCGGAAGAAGAACAGCCTGGATGTTGCGAAGAACGCCTCCCTGTGCGATAGTGACCCCAGCAAGTAACTTATTCAGTTCTTCATCATTCCTAACAGCCAGCTGCAAATGTCTAGGAATAATTCTGGTCTTCTTGTTATCGCGGGCAGCATTGCCGGCAAGCTCAAGTATTTCAGCAGACAAGTACTCGAGAATTGCAGCCATATACACAGGCGCGCCGGAACCGATGCGTTGTGCGTAGTTCCCCTTGCGGAGAATACGATGAACTCTGCCAACTGGAAACTGAAGACCAGCTCGAGATGAACGGCTTTTGGCTTTGCTGCGGCTTTTGCCTGATTTACCACGACCCGTCATGATCACAAAACACTTGCAGGAAAACTTACAGGTATAACAGCGCTGTTTGCGTGTTTTATGCCCGCCAAAGGATCGAAAAGAGCCAATGAGATTCGCTGTCTTTGCGCCCTCCACCAATCAGCGTGCAGCAAATTCACTTTTGCGTCCTCAGGCGGCCAGCTATTTATGTGCCAACCAATCATAAATCGTTATTTTTGATCCTGTCAGTTTTTGATCCCCACCATATTTGCTATAAATCTGTTTGCATTTTAGTTTTTCTTTACTCATTTTCAAGTTTAAAACGTCTACAGTTGTTTATTCATTGAGTTTTGAGAATGCCTCCAAAGTCCGGTGCTAAGAAAGAAAAGAAGGCTGCCGGAAAGAGACCATCAGGAGATAGAAAGAAGAGGACGAAGAGACGAAAGGAGAGCTACTCGATCTACATCTACAAAGTTCTTAAACAAGTTCACCCTGACACTGGCATTTCCAGCAAGGCCATGGGCATCATGAACTCCTTTGTGAATGATGTTTTCGAGCGCATTGCAGGGGAAGCATCTCGTCTCGCTCACTACAACAAGAAAAGTACCATCAGCTCTCGTGAAATGCAGACGGCCGTTCGGCTACTGTTGCCTGGTGAACTTTCTAAACATGCTGTGAGCGAGGGAACGAAAGCAGTAACTAAGTACACTAGCAGCAGATAGACACTCCATAAGTCAGATAAAAACAAACGGCTCTTTTAGGAGCCACCAACTGCAACTAAAGGTCATGGCCAATTTATATTTATTCAAATAAGCTTACTACAACTTTTAATTTTAGTTATTCGAGTTGAACGTTTGGGCCATTCCACTTTAATAAACACACTCCTCCGTTGACGAAGGACTTCGAAATTTTCCTAACCTTTAGTAAAATGCTCTTTTCCCCAAACACCCCCCCAAAAATTCATTCATGAACATATCCCCTCAGAAAGTTTGCAACACGAGTCCGGTAGCTGTAAAAAATTTTGCTTTTTTGCTTCTTACCCTATTTCTTATACATCTTCAAGTAATTTCGGTAACGGGGAAGGGTGTATATTACTGTGAAACTCAGAAAATCGTGAACACACGTCTCCAGTCGTTTTCCCCGCGTACGCTTCAACTCTCGACCATCTGAACGCCGTGCACTATTATCTAAACGCCTGGGAGAGGCTATAAAAGATACAGTAATTTATGTAGTCCGGCCATTTTAGTAGCGTGTTTCACACTTGGGCTTCTTCGTGTTGTATGTCTATTCAGTTTATTTATTCCATAGCCAAGGGGGAAGTGTCAGATTTATTGTTAATGAGAAGTATGAGAGGAAGGTTAAAATAGGTTCGAGCTTGGGCAAGCGGCACATTGCTGCTAGAGGAAAGAAGCGGAATTTGTCATTACACAAAAAGTATGGTAATGTATATTTTATTAATTAATGATCCTCTTGATATTGCCTTGTAAGACTGTGCATTTCCACACATTGTAGCAATGTTGCAATAATCTATGATACAAAACTAACCAATACTTGAGTGCTTGTAAAACACGACGTAAAACACTTTTGATTTCATTTCAAAATTTTTGCATCTCATAAATAAGACCAAATAAACAATATGACCTATTACTGCGAGATAACTTGCTTGTAAACAACTAACGCCCCTCGAACAACGAAAACCAATCACAAAACAGAGCAACAAGTCGCAACACATTCAACAAACGAAACGTACGGATCCTGTGTCTTAGAAATCCATATTTAGATTTCATCTAATGGATCCATTTAGAGTGAGGATTCGTTAGATTCAAAATCCATTTTTGAATTTTATAAAGGAAACATGAAGTTCTTCGCGCGTAAACAAATAAGTGTATGGTCCTGATTGGACAAACAAAGGGCTCTGTTTCTTTGTCTAACCTGTCCCGCTAACCGAACAACCAAACACCAAGAACAGAATAAAAGTTATTTTTTTAGTTCACAAGGAGTAAATACATTCCGTGCGCTCAACCTGTACAAAATTTAAATTTCTCACCTCCCGTACTGAACTTCGTGAGTAAAATATATTTAGGAGATAATTCATAAATAGTTTTCAAATAAACGTGCAATAATCATTGTCTCGATAAACAAAAATATAAATCATTTGACTTTCAGTTGCTTAAAAAACTGCAGCGGCCCAGGAAATCATCCGCGCCGTGCACTAACAATAAAACTTTTCAAGAGTAAAGAATAATTTTAAAAATTAATCTTAAAAACGACGCAATATTATCTCAAAACTGAAGAAAATCTGATTTAAAACAACTATTTAGGTACTGAGATTTCAAGTACGAATATACGTTTGTTTTAAAATAGCCTCAGTTGCCAGTTTAAAAAGTAACTCCCACAAAATAATCCTATTTCAGTTCGGGTTAAATATAAAATTTACACAGTAAAAAGTGCGCTGCACGATTTCAAGTCAGTCATGGCCCCACTTGTTCGTTTCCTGATACAGTAAAAACCCGCGAGTAAGAACCTGGTTTTTAAGAACATGTTAGGTTAAAATTTGCAAGTTAGGCCCCCTCTATACAAGAACCTGTTTAGCCTAAAACTTGAAACAGGTTCTTATTTTCTAAACTCTACAAAAAAAAAATACTCTGTACACTTTGGCAAAAAAGATAAGTCAACATTCAGGAACCTCTTTGGAGAAATAGGTGCCATATCACGCCAACTGCACTGTTATGGGACGCAGATTTCATGTAAGGAATAAGCTTATACTCTTGTCTACAATGTATTTTCTATTTAAGAACTTAAATTGCCTAAATTTGTGCTAATTAACATTTATGTAAGAACCTATTTAGGTCGCTAATTTGGGAAAATGCAGGTGCATTTTTTTTTTTTGGGGGGGGGGGGGGGGGGGAAGAAAAAAAAAAAAAACCCGCCAAGGGGAAAAAAAAGGAAAAAAAAAATGCAAGCCAAAAAAAAACCCAAAACATTATAATCTTACGTCACAAAAACAAAAAAAAGAAGATTCTAAAACAAAAAACTACCGCCAGCCTGGGGGCGAAGTACAAAAAAAATATCCGCGCAAGGGAAAATTAAATGGAAAAAAATTCATGCACGCTAATTAATCCAAAAACTATTCATGCTATGGCCTAAAAAAATTCATAAAGGGAATTTGACAACGAAAAAAATTCCTGCGGCTCGAAAATTCCACCCCCCCCCCCATAACTTTTCTAATGGTCCGTCCTTTACTCGCGGGTTTTTACTGTACCGTCATCGAGCCTACAAATCAGAATCGTAAGTGGCACACTTTCCACTTGTCCCTTTTATAAAGCCTTAGTAAACAAAATATATCGAATTTTGCTGCCGCTCATTCTCCGCAAAATGAAGCTTGGTTTGCCCGGAAATAGAAACAAACATGCGAGAACATATCAAGTGAAATTATTCGAAACTAAGAGGATAGAAGAATCTGCGTCAAGCTTGTTTTCAGGACGAGATTTTGCGACGGCAAGGATTACCTACACACGCAGGATTTTACTGAACTATAAAGGGCCCTTTACAGCTAGTCATTCACGTGGTACAAAAACAACTGCCATGCTGGAGGGCAAGGGACGCACTGGGAGAAAACAAACAAGGGAAATTAGAGTGATTTTACTTGAACCGTGAGACAGATACTAATAAATAATACAAAACTGCGAGAGGTAAACAAAAGAAGACAATAAAATTAGTGCATAATAGTGCGTAGTATTCTACTACCTATTTCACGGTTCAAGTAAAATCACTCTACCGTTTTAAATAATGTGAGCTCTCTGTTTGTCTTGTCCCTGTGCGTCCCTTGCTCTTCCGCACGGCGGTTTTGTACCACGTGAATGACTAGCTGCAAAGGGCCTATTGCCTCAGAGCTTTACCTAGTCCATGACACAGCTGTTTCTAAAAACTACACTTCGGAACTTACACATTTTAGAAATCGAAGAAAGTCTACAATGAGATTGGGTCCCTCGTGAAAACCAAGCTTCACTGTTAGGAGAAACGTATCCATTTAATCTCTGTTAATTAAAATCAGTAAAATTCCTATACAAAAGTTATCCTCAAATCTTCCTTTTCATATGTTACATACGGGTCAAGCTTTGGAATCTCACCATCCTGCCGACTGCGTCGTTTTTCCGAGTCCACGCTCCGCGAGGTGCCGTGTACGAGTCGTTTAGACGCAACGTCTATTGATGGTCTGTGACCCGTATAGGGCGTGTCACTTTCTGAAGACTCATCAACTAGAGTTCTTTCATTTGTTGACAGAGGTGTCATGGTTTTGTTTGCGTTCGAAAGGGGTGGAGTTCCCGAACCAGGCGTATGAATGTCAGGGGGGGATCGCCGTGGTTGTGAAGCTGCGTCCGTGTGATCCTCACTCCTCCCTGGCTGGTTAGAGTATCCCCCCGGATTTGGAACGTGCGAATTGCTTAGTCTAATATGCGTTTTAATTGATTGTCTATTAGAGTCTGTTGATCTGTTGTCTATCCTTTGCCGTTGAACGTCCTTGTTTGGTAAATCAACGTAAGCTACTGGGCCAGAATAATTTGGCGGACTGGCAATGCTGTGTCGGGCCTGAAAAGTTGTACTACTTGGAAACGACTCCGATGTAAAAGTCTGCTGGGTTATCGAAGAGTCTAAAGAACGACGATACTGGGAGGTGTTGGGTCCTTCCGGCGACTCACATATCGAAGGAGGCGGTGAGAAGTCCGCTAGTTGTAGATCATGCATTGATCCCGAGAGAGGGGCAGGTGGGGGAGGAAGCGGACTCGCTACTCTCGTTATATCCTGGCTCGGTGCCGACGAAGGAGACGCCTTCAACTGTGATTCTACCACAGTATTTTCCAGCCCTGCTAAAAGCTCCTCTGAGCCAATGATTGGCTTGGGCCGCGGTCGTCTTGCCTCCATACTAGAGACAGTTCTTCGAGGGACTGGAGGTGGGCCGCCCGAGGAGGGGACGAGTATTTCGGCCTTTCGTGTGCTTACTTCAGGCAAACTGTAAGCAGATACTATTTTCCGCGAAGGAATATCGACGGGAATACTTGAAAATCTCCTCGAATCATCGAAACCTTTTCCTTGCATTGCTTTACGAATTGACCCGGGTTTTGCACCGGGTTTCACGTTGTAAATTGCCGGCGTAGTTTCTCTCACATTTTGAGAGGACTTGGAAGTAACCCGCTCGATTGTTTGCGGTTTGACGCTGCCGACGTTGTTTGAACGATAGTGCCCCGCTTGGTCACCAGGGTTACGACGTGGATTAGTAGCGTAGTGAATTCCACGCAAACTATTTACAGTCAGAGGCTGAGAACCCTGTGATCGCACTAAAGGTTGAACGTGTGCCACGTTTCTTGGGGGTTCATTTTCAGATACGGGTCGAGGTTGAGGACCCGTTTCAACCCGCATCCCGCGCGCCGCATCCACAGTATAGACTTCAACATCAGTTGAAGATCTTGGTCTCTCCGAACGAAGATTTCTTTCTCCCCTTCTCGCTCCAACAGCTTTACTGCCGTTCTGTTCTTGTTGCGGCTGAAGCCGCGAGTTAAAATTATAATCTAATAGCATTTCATTTTGTTCGGTATTTCGCTCAATATTTTCCTTGGGAGACGACAAATTAGTCTTTGTTGAATCGGATCTCTTAGACAATTTCACAGACAGCTCCTGCATCAAGTCCATTTTCTCAGGACCTGGAGTAACAGGATTTGACAACGTTTTTTTAACCGCGGGTTTCTTCATGTTCGTCTCCCCATTTCTGAAGCCAGGAGGTGGAGGAGGAGCATATGGGACCTTAAAAGAGCCGTCGGTTTCAGCTGTTTTATGGTTGGGAATTTTCAGGAAATCTGGAAGCTCCAAATTACCTTTGAGCCCGCCTCTTTGATCGTCCATTCTGTTGGCCTGGGCTTTGCTTATCAACTCGAAGAAGTCTGCGAAACAACACAAAATTGTAAATCAATAGTCTGCCTCAGTATGGCTAACATGAAACCGTGTTCAGAAGAAACGTTAAAATGCCATCTGTAACCTTCTAACCGCAAAGCAATTGAAAGCGAAGAAAACTTCTCAATTTAATAGAGAATATTTAAAAAAGTGAAGTATCTAATAGTAAAAAGGAGGAATCTAACTCAAGAAACAGACGTTTCTTCAACAAGCGTAAAAGTCTACTATAACAAGTGTTTCTTCGTTACGCACTAAACAGCGAATCGCAATAATATTTCGACCAAGTCTTTTAACATCTTCGCTCCTCACTGAAATTGTAAGTAAGAGATGAAAAGCTAATTGGCTTAGTGATTACATAAAACTTAACGCAATGGTTTATATAAACATGAAAATTCATTTACACCACGAATGCAAAAGTCTTTACAACGTCGAGAGAATAAAAACAAAACAAAAAACACTGTATGAATTTATCAAAAGATGCAGCATTAACAAAACGCACCACTCAGTGGCACACGCTAAATATATCACATTTTATAGGTTATCAGATTTGCTACCTTAATTTTCAATCTGCCGTTGGTGATGAGGGATTTCTACGAATGAATCTTTTAAGCCTTGAGTTATACAGCGGAAGAATAGAAAAACGTATGAGGATTTCTGACAAACTGAACGCGAACACAATATCAAGATGACAACGAAGAGCATCTCCGAGTGACGTGAAAAGAGCGAATTAGAATTTGAAAAAGCACCTGTCGAGATAGATTAAAGCTTGTATACATTACCAACTTATTTAAGATTTTCAACCAAGAATACGAAGATTACCCCGGCTGTGTAATGCAAACTGTTAATTTCACCAAGATTGAAATAAGCAGTTTACACAACACGACTAATCTTATCTCTGTCATAATTAAGAGCAACATATTAAAAAAAAACAAATAACGTACATTTCAATTGTAAATGACGAAATAGTTCTCAAACTACGACACGTATACGCCAAAAGCATAAATTTCTAGACTTCTTCCGACATAAAGTTGGTAAAAAGTGTATACTCCGCATAATGACATCAATTACTCCCCCTCCCCTTCCCTTTGCTACCCTGTTTATTCGCTCACTGGCCCACCGCTACCTTTGAAAAATGGCCACTCTGTCCATCCACTAATCCACATGAAAATAACCGTTGTTTATCCCGCACATTATAGAGAAACTGAATAAGCCTATTATCACCAAGGGCAACTAAGTTAACGCCAAGTAAAATTTATAAAGGTGCAGGTGGTAGGATTGCTATCAATTCACGCGTCCCTCTGTTGACGAGACAAACAGTTTCTCTCGAAGAATTTTAAATAAACTTTCCATTAACAGTAGCTCAAAATTACGTTTTGAAGGAGGCTGGAAAACAAAACAAAACTGCGAGAAATACGGGAGATGTTAAAGTTCGCCTTATTCAATACTCGCGTGCAACTCACAATTTCAAAGAAATCTTCGCGTTGTGCTGAAGATTCTTTTATTTCACAGCACATTAATCGGAAAACACTCGTTTTTTTCAAAAAACGAATGAACAATTTAGTTTTGCATTATTTCACTTATTTAACTGCTTAAAGAATGTTATTTTGAGTAGCTTGAACAAAGACAGCCTGCATCTATTTTCACGGCCTAAAACCTTACCTTTAACATCTGTCGGCTTATCGTTGCCAAAGCGACCGCTTTTATTGGCAACCGGAATAATTTTATCCTGTTCGCTGGCTTCTCTTCGTTTCCTTGCAAACAATCCTTGAGACTTGAGTAGACTGTTTCCACTCTCGTCTCCGCGCCCTAAGCTCTTTAAAGAGTCCTCACTGAGGGGCGCCGACTGCAAATCTGGAACCCAGATCCCTGTTTCATCAAAGTGTCCATCGCCCAGTGTTTGTCGCCTTCCGCGCATGACTTCTTCGAGAGCGAGGTCGTCAAACGCGTTCTTTTTGCTGCCGCGCCGCGAAGCTCGAGAAGAGTTCGCTCGCCTTCCAGGAACACGGGAGGATGTGTTCGCATTTCCTTAAGAATATAACAAAACAACGAATTAAAGATATGGACATTGCATGCTATTTCCCCTTAGGGGGTGAAGGTAAGGGGAGTCGATACTTAAACATATCCAAACCACGTAAGCTTGACGGTTTCCTGGAAAACCAGGATCGAGGATCAAAGATCCTATAATTCGGTTTAGATATAGAATCATACAATTTCTAAATAAAACTGACGGGACTTCAAAATATCAGGCCTCTGACAAAAAAAACTATGAGATTTACGATCGATATAGGAAAACAACAGTTCAATTCAGTTGCAAATCTAAGATGACATCCACCGCTGGTTTTACTTGAATTCTGGAGTGATTTTTTTCAACTTCATATGATCAAACGTGTCACACGTGTTTATTCGTGTAAAGCAACAAGCAAATGCATGCGAGCCAAACAACATCTACATAGGAAAGGAAACTCTCCGATAATAAGTAATCCCGACAATAAATTTAATTAAAAACGATTTGGGGTCAAAAATAGCACCAGGGCTATAGTTACTTTTTCGAGAGAGACAGTGGAATTATAGGGATACAGGAAACTTTAACCTGCACCAAGAAATTTAGAAAAAAAAGAGCACGATTCGAATGGTATCGTCTTATACAAACTGAGTCGTTTATTTCTGTAATCGACCTGTCTTCAGCAACGCAGTCATTTATTACATCTGAAAAGAATTGGCTGAGTGACGCGCGACTTCTCACGGGCAAAAGTTCTTACAAAGACGGAAAAGAATAAAAACTTTAGAATTTTATGACAACAGCAAACCAAATGTGTAACTCGTTTAAATTAAGAGTTATAATCAAGTGCAGCTCAAACTGGTCAAAGGGTAAATTATTGGCGCAATCAGGGTAAAAGACTAATCAATCGATGTACAGTGTGCTAACAAAACCGTACTGTAGATCATGTGACTGATCAGTAGCTGACAGACCGTCGTATGCTTTTGTGAGAAGAGACTTAGAGGATCTCTGTCGAAGGTATTTTAAGTTGTTGTTTTCAACACTCAAATTATTACCTTGAAATTGAAGAAAACTTGGAATTATTAGTTTAAAACGAATCGGGAATTCATAACCCAAAACATTTCGATTGTGCATAAAGCTTTTCGATTAGCAAACGGTCTCTTTGACTAGACTATGTCGAGCATATGAACAGAGGAAATAAAAACTACACCTTACAATAAGGGCCTAAGTGAAGTCTTATACAATGACATTTCGAATTTCTTTTTCTTACAACAAAATAAATAATCCATACGTAACCTTCAAATAATTGATTGAATAATAGTGAACACAAATAAAGACTATGATAACTGCTGGAAAAAGAAAAACAGTTAATTTAAAAAATCAACAAAGGCGATTCTCAGTGAATGGGGCCACCTGCTTTCGGCTTCACTTGCCCAACAGACATAAACATTGTAAACAAAGGCTTTGGCTGTAAAAATGAACAAAAATTGCAAATATAAAACAAAAATTTGTCACGGTCATTTCTATTTTCAAAGGGATAAGATAGTCAAACTTTGCTTAACAGAAAAAAAAAATTGCAAAGTAAAGCAAATGGCGTACGTTGCTTTTCGAAAACGTTTAGACTTCATAACGTCACATTGTTCTCTCACTAGCCCCGAAAAACATAACAATTTAACAAAATGTAAAGCCTGACATCGCTTCGAAAATGACTCTGAAACTTCAAAACTTGCACAGAAAAGGTTTAGACACGGGTGAAAAATACAAACGAAGTCGAACGCGGATACTAAAATTTGAAATCGACGGTGAGTGACGCTCATTTAGATAATCAAAATTAAGAAAAACATAGCGGTTTGACGGGACTTACCACTAACGGCAAATTTCAACATTTTCAGAGCCTACAAAAATCTCAAAAGGTTTGCAACCGGGAAGCAGCGGTGGTGTTGGCTCACCGCTATGTTGTCGTGTGGCGCGGTGAACACATCAAGATAACCATGGAGTAATGGTTGATTCGCAGCAAAACGCGTCATGTATGTTAATCGCTACTTATATGCCTCCCTGATGGCGCCTGACTAAATCGCGAACAGAAGGCGCTAATAGTGGCAAACCTCCTAGAGAGAACGCCGGATTTCAAAACAACGCTGATGTTTTATTGTGACTGAGAAAGCAAAATGTTATTGTAAAGGGGAGCTCTGGAAAGATTACAGATTGTGTTAGGTTGTATAATTTCTGATCGCAAATGACTTGAGCCATAATATCTTTCACTGACCCTACCACGCCTACAGCAAATTTTTTGTTGCGAAACGCAGGACGATTTGGAATAGAGATCTTTAGTTTCTGAGACGAGGACTACTACAAGAACGAAATCTGATTTTCTCAATACCAATACATGTAGTTGGCGCGCGTGAACCAGCGTCGTTTTCGCGGGAAAACGCGATAGCCGTCGTCATTCTACTGCTGGTTCTTAATAATGAGAATGCCATAGTGGTGAAAACAAGTTATCAAATGACAGAATTTTTTTTTCATTTTCTTCGATAAAGATAACAGTGCTAACTTTCTCCGGTCAAAAAAGGTGAAAAGAAGCCTTCCCAGTCCCTTGATAAAGAGAAAACAGAGGATCCTGGGAACGAGCACGTCACCATTTCTACGAGGAGAATGCTCTGGGAACGAGTTCATATGATATCAAATAGCTATGTACCTGCAAATAGTTCAGCGATCTCTATCACCACCTGCTGATGTTCAATTGATGCCGCAGGAATACCTGGATCCAACGGTACTTCACATTCCGCCTGAAGCAGCAAGAAAAGAACAAAATTTTATCATTCTGTTTAGATGTTACTGGACAATAATTCACTACAGGTTACCAGCAGCTGATAAGGTGATATTCGGTTGTTCAGAGCGCGTGACGTTCTATAGGGAATGTGCCTTATGTCTTTATGGTGTCCATAACTTATAGATAGATATGCTCGTGGATAGGACGACACTTAAAAAAAAAAAACAGTTCTCTGAGGTAACATCACATATTCTGAAATGGGAAAACAAAAAATAAAAGCTAAAAAGGTCTATAACTTGTTCCTCACCAGATGCGCAATGACTCTGTCAGTTGACAAGCCATGCCGGGAGAGAATGGGCTCTAGACACGCCCTCACACTCTGATTTGGTTTGACTTTTATACAAAGTGTCACTCCATCCGGGAGCTCTAATCTGCAAAACAATCCCAGTAAAACACGTGATTAGAACAGATCAAGGAAGTTGTAGTAAGGTCCTCTACGGAACGATTATTGCAGATTTGTCTTGCTGATCATCAAGCGCGTCAGAGCAAAATCGAGTGAAAGGAGGATCACGCATCGTGTAGCAGCTCGAGATTTTTTGTGCCCCCAACAGACCAATTTCGATATATTAAAATTCATTCTTGGCTGCGAGGCTTCAAGGGGGAATAAAAAAATTCATCTTGAGGCTCAGTAATAAATAATACACTTCTCTTGTTTTATTCCCCAAAGCCTCGGAGCCACGTATGAATTTTAACATACATCGAAATTGATCTATTGTAGACGAGCCTTGACAGCACAAACAAAAGGCAAATATAAACCCAAAGCTTAGCCTACGAGCGGCTGCACTTCGCCCCTGAAAAACGAAAAAAGGTGGGGTACTTCCAGTCGGTGATTACGGTCACAAGTAGGCTACTAAAGTGCGACTACTGGATGGAAATGAGAATAGCCTGGCACCAGTAAGCCAGAAAACAGTTTATCTACGGCCAAGAACAGCGTAACGCATCACTCAGTTTATGCAGATAATGATTAACGGCAAAATGAATGGATGAATGAATGAATGGTTGGATGGATGAATAAATGAATGAATGAATGGATGAATGTTTACCTGAACAGTGTTCTATGTTCCAGTACCACCTCCCTGCCGCCCATAATGGACATGTCTTCATCAAGTTCCTCCAGAGGTACAAGCTGTAAAATCAAACAAAAACAAAAAAAAATGGTCGGCCCGAAAGTTTTTTCTTCATCAATCCTATTAACAAAGTTATTCAGTGGCAATTCATTCATGGACAACCCAATGCATGCATTTCCTCCCTTGTTTATAACAAAACACGAAAGAAACAACCTAAAATAAGACCCGAAAATAAGGCAGCCCCGAGGCGTTTACGTTTTTCAAAGGCTTTTTAGAGGGTCTTATAAGTGGGAAGGGAGGGGGGGATTTGCGTCTCAAATTCCGACTCGGTTTACAACTGGAGAAAAATTTGTGTGGACAGTTTTCATCGTGAAAATGATAACACGAGTATTTAACAGAAATTCGCGACAATGCAAAACCTCTAAATGGGCAACTTTTAAGACCAACAGCAATGAAATATACTTTTATACTTTTTCGGACAATTCTCAAATACACTCTTCCGGAAATTATAAGAAAGGCTGTTTTGCCCTTCCAACTTGAGGGCTTACTGTATTCGGACAGTTTTCCGGTATATATTCGGACAGTTTTCCGGTATGAATCAATCAAACCAACTCAACGCAGAGAGCATGAATTATAGGTGAGACCACTAAACTACTTTTGTAACTTTATTTGATTTACCACAAAATACAAATAACGATAAAACAAGACAGTTACACAAAAGCAAATGAAAGTGGCGAGGAAGCCCAAAAAGAAACCATGAGGCTTATAGACATTGGGCTCCCTCAGAGTAAAAATAAAGTTAACAGTAACGGTAAGGCCAGGATCGAAAGCAAAATACAATGAAGGTAAGTATAAATTAACTAATTACATAGACTGAGTTGACAAAATATAAGGTATGGTACAAGTAACAATAAGTATAAAAATAATATCAGACATGGAAGAAATATAACTATTTACTACAAGATTTATAACTAATAATTCATATATAATTTTTTTTTCAATTTCGTTTTGAATAAGTGGAGAGAATTAGATTCTTTAATATCATTTTCTATAGTGTTATAATAAGTAGGTCCTTGGAAACTGACAGAAAATTTACGAAGGTTTGTTCTACAAGAAGGAAGGTGAAAATCGTTCGCGTGTCTAGTGGCATAGCTATGGACTTGTTTGTTTAAAGAAAAATAATTGTTGAACTTTGAAGGCAAAAGAGAATGGTTAAGAGAAAACATAAGTTTACCTAATTCTAGCTGTCTAATATCGGAAAGTTTTAGTAGCTCTAATTCTTTGAAAATAGGGTCTGAATGAGAATCGAAAGTTGATTTAGAAATAATTCTGATAACTCGCTTTTGCAAAGAGACAAGACGGCGAAGATTGGTTTTGTACGTAGATCCCCAGACAATAATACAATAATGAAGATAAGGATAAACTAAACAATAATAAAGAGTTTTTAGACACGGTTTAGGTAGAAAAAATCTTGCTCTATTAATGACACCTATTGATTTCGAGATTTTACGAGCTACTTGAGAAATGTGCGGTTTCCAAGACAGATGTTCATCAAGGACTACACCGAGGAAGACCGTTTCCTTAACCTGTTCGATTCTCTGTTCGTTTATGCATACTTGCATTGGAAAATGATACCTTTTCTGTCTAGGCTTAAATAACATAAAGTTTGTTTTCTTTAGGTTTAAGGAGAGTTTGTTTGCCTTAAACCAAGTGGATAATTTATTAAGTTCGGAATTGAGTGAGGCTGCCAGGTAGACAGGATCTTTATGGGACATAAATAAATTAGTATCATCAGCGAATAAAATCAGCTCGACGAGCGTCGATACATTATTTAAATCATTAATATAGAGCAAGAAAAACAAGGGGCCCAAAATAGATCCCTGGGGGACACCACAGCAGATAGTTTGAGGAGAGGAGCATTGACCGTTAAATTGAACGAATTGCAACCTGTTGGAGAGGTAGCTTCTAACCCAGTCCAGAGCCACGCCACGTATACCATAGTGTTCGAGTTTGTCAAGCAGAATATTATGATCGACGGTATCAAAGGCCTTAGAAAGATCAAGGAAAACGCCAACGGCATGTTCATTGCGATCAAGAGCAAGGGAGATTTTTTCATATAGGTCAATCAATGCTAAAGAAGTTGAATGATTTTTCCTGAAGCCAAATTGATTATCACATAGAATTTCTAGTTTACTTAAATAATTATAAAGACGGTTATAAACAACCTTTTCAAGAAACTTAGAAAAGCTAGGGAGAATCGAGATCGGTCTATAGTTCGTAAAGAGTGATCGATCACCGGCTTTAAAGAGTGGTATCACGCGAGCAATTTTCATATGGTCGGGAACAATGCCATGAGAGATAGATAAATTGATTATATGAGCTAAAGGAACGGCTATAATTTGAATTGACTTTTTTATGATGGAAATGGGAATTCTATCATGGCCAGCTGCCTTACCTGGTCGAAAAGCATTGGAAATTTCGAATAGCTCATTTGGAGTCACTGGATCAAAAAACACCGATTGACAAAAGTGACCAGAGAGAAAACTGCGGTGAGAGACAGACGAGTGAATTTCTTTGGCTAGATTAGGTCCGATATTAGAAAAATAACTACAGAATCTATTAGCGATGTCTACTGGATCCGTAATTTCTTGGTTGTCAACTTTAAAGAAGGAATTGATTTTAAACGCTTTCTTTTTTGTCTAAATAATTTCGTTTAGAACTCTCCATGTAGCTTTGGCATTTGATTTAGAAGCATCGATTTTCTTTTCGTAATATATACGTTTCGCGATTCTTAATGAGTGATTCAATTTGTTTTTGTAATTTTTATAACGAATTTCATAATGCAAAGATTGATTAGTGAGATACTGTCTATATAACTTATTTTTCGTTCTTATCGACTTCAGAAGTCCTTTCGATAACCAAGGCTTTCTCAAACGGTAATTGCTCGCCTTAGTTTAGCTAGCTCGATATAAGGCACTCTTACTTGGGAAAGATCACGAAAAAAGATAAATAACAAGCATCGAAGTGTTTCGTGACATTACCTTGTCTCCGCCACCAAGATACACTTCATGAGCAACCAGCGAGAGGTGTCTCCTGTCGCACAAGTGTACCAAGGCTTGGCGTAGTGTCTGTCCTTCCTTACACAGCAGAATCGTGGATGACTGGTCGGGTAACACAACTCTGCAGAACTGAAATGCCTCGCTTTCTCTTCTTTGGTCTGCATGTAAAGACTAACAATGTGAAACGAAAGGAAAAATGGTTAAACTTCATCAAGAATTGTTCAACTCTTTGTTCTTAGCAGTCCAGGATACATATGTCAACTATTGAGTCGGTGGAACAAACTCCGAAAAAAAAAGTAACCAGAACCAATTGCACTATCCAGCGGATGGCGTTAACCAATTTGAACTACTGTGGCCAGCTCTAGTTGCGTCCACTTTTATAAACTCCTTAGGAAATCGCTTACAAGAGCTTTGACCGTGACTCAAAACGTTAGCCACGTACTAGAGGGTAGACATGATATCTAACGTTTTTCGATACAGTTTTTCAGGGCCCATACCGATATTTTTCAATCGCCTTAAAAATGGTTTTTTCCTTGTCCGATCGCTATGAAATTTTCACCAATAATTGGCTATGGATTGAAATTTCTGAAAATGTAGTTTTGAGTAAAATCGATATTACTATGACAACAATAAACAAAAAACTTTGAAATTGATAAAAGCCGAATTCTGTGCGATCTAGACCAGCTAATGATAATCCAACACTAGGAACTTAAAGTTTGGTGTTTAGCAAACAACCTCTGTAAAAGGTAATAAAATTCTGTATGTTTGAATTCGAATAAAACAAAAATATATTCACACCGTAAATTTTCAATAGTCGTGATAGATTATTTAATAAAAATGTTATAAATTACTCAAATTAATCTCAAGTAGCGTCAGAATACTGCTTAATATCATATTTCGATGCTGGGAGATTTTGGTGTATTTTCGATCTTGAAAACTAGCCCGTTTTCTCACCACCTGTATAAGTGCAACTTCGTTCAAAATTTGGACTTTTCCTGTTATTTTGTATATCTCTGAAACGACTCGAACTCGAATTTTTTTCAAATCTCTTCACATAATGTGTATAATAATGTCTGAAACTTTCATTAAGATTGATTTACTGCAACACATTGAAATTTCAAGACGAACCTATCCTACGAACGGGTCAAAAATCCGCGCTACAACATTCGCTGTTTTGACGTTATGCTAATTTTTCCAAATTGAAGCGGACCATACATATCTCCATGACTAGTGCATTTAAATGTAATCATTGCTAATGTTTTACATTCAAAAGAAGCGATAAATTCAAACTAAAATGTACTAGTCATGGAGGTATGTATAGTGCGCATTAATTTGGAAAAATTCAAACATACATAATTTTTTACTTCTTACAGAGGTTGTTTGCTAAACACTAAACTTTAAGTTCCTAGCGTTGGATTATCAGTAGCTGGTCTAGATCGCACAAAATTCGGCTCTTATCAATTTCAAAGTTTTTTGATTCTTGTTGTCATAGTAATATCGATTTTACTTAAAACTACATTTTTACAAATTTCAATCCATAGCCAATTACAGGTGAAACTTTCATAGCGATCGAACAAGGAAAAAAAACACTTTTAAGGCGATTGAAAAACATGGGTATGGCCTCTGAAAAACTGTATCACCTTAAGAGCCACCTTTGTTGATCAGGATTAGTAATTAATTCCACTTGAATAGCACGGTTATTCAGCAGATGGTGTGTGCGAGTTCAATCCGATAACAGTCTTCAATGGGATACGGTAAAACCATGGGGTCATGTCAACGGCTTAACGCGCGCGATATACACGCGCGATGCAAGCTTCGTAATAGGCACATTGTTCGTTTGCGTGACGCGCGAGGTAAAAAAAAAGAATATTAAAAAAACACGAACCTCGGAAGAGTGGCTGATATTCTGGAATGAATCTGACAACGATGAAATGGAGCTTCGAGCACTCCCGGGCTGGCTCCCAAATGACCTGTCACCTGTGTAAGGATAAAAACGTTATGAACATCTAAAGTACAAAAATCAAAACACTTGAACAAATTTTAATCGCACCATTGCAAGAGAGGAGGGATTAAGTCAAAGGTATTAAGTCTAAGACAGTTTAAAAGTTCAAACAAATTAATTCTCATGGCGATCAATGCTTGATATGGGAAGAAATTCAAGCGTCAGTGACAGTAGGAAAAAAGAGCCGAGAGAAGCGTTCAGCGTTTGTAACTCACTGTGGCTATAAGAGTTAAATTCTAGCGTGTTGACGTAGAGACTTTCAGTCTTTCTTGTGATTTGAAACTTCAACATTTCGAACGTCCTCGTAGCATTTAAAAAAGTTGTTCACTAGGTATAAGCCGACAAATGATTTTTTTCAGGCAATAAAATAAGACTAACGTCGCGATTTCTTTAACAAAAATACGGCGGATGTGCAAATGAGCAATCACTACTAACCTTTTTTGACGTGTTTGCCTGTAAAATCGAAGGAGGGGCATTATTAGTATTCAAGTACTCCAAAACAATAGCAATATCCTTTCTACGGCAGTTAACGACCATTAAGCTGGCTATAAATACCTAAGAATTGTTCCTTTAAACAAAAGAGTCTTTTTTCACTTGTAAACGGTAATGTTTCAACGGGATGAAAGAACAAATGGATCTTTAAAGATGCTTTTACTGCATAAAGATCTCAAGATAAACGTTTTTTTTTTTCAATGAATATCTTGGTCGCAGGAACTAAATCATGCCTAAATGACTTTTCATTAAAGTAGTGACTAAAACATCGTAAGAGATGACATTACCAAGAACAATAAAGACAAAAACACGAAAACATATTGGGGAGGCAAGAGATACACTGACTTAAAAAGAGCATCGAAAGCTGTTTAAATTGAAGGCTAACTAAAGAACAGAATATTTTTAGTTCGCGATAAAATCCAGTATTAAACAAATGAAAATCATGTCTGCTCTAATTGCAAAACAAAAGAATCTTGAAGGGGGAGAGGAAAGAAATTTATTGCAGTTTAACATAAAATATCGATATCAGCCTCACGTGGTAATACTAACACAAAAGTTAGTGGCTCAGAAAAACAGAGTTAAAAATGCAAAAGTTCACAAGTTTTAAGACAAATAAGATAACGCATGTTGTTGTTTTTTTTAACAACCAGACTAAGCTGATCTATTTTAAAAAATCTAAAAGCACTGCTGATAAAGAGACAATTGTCCTCTCCTATGAAAGAAATTTCGAAAAAAAAAAAAAGACCAATATAAGACGAAAGAACAACCGCTACAAAATATGTGTTTGGTATAAGAGCAGGGAAGCGATGCCTTGACAACGAGACGGCTCGCCCGCAAACCAATCGCAGTGGTAGATTAACCCTTTAAGTCCCAATGGTGACCAACATCAATTTTCGCCAAGCAATATTCATACATTGTCAAGAGATTAGGTTATGAGAATTTATAAAATGATCACTAAAAAGAAAATGCTTTGATCTGCTATCAAATTCTCTCAACTTATTCTTAAAGGAAATGTATGGAGATCAGTTTGGAGAATTTATATGTGGATATTGGGGCTTAAAGGGTTAAGGGCCTCTTCACGTGAGCCCGGTTGACCGGGCTGGCCCGCTTACTAGAACCAATTTCACCTTAGGTTTATAATATGAACCGGGTTGAAATTTCTCATATTCAACCCGGTTTCCGATATGAGATAAGAACGAAGATCCTGGAGACGAATTCTGGCGCGAAAAATCGAGAAACAAAGCAAGCTTTGGCAACTCTTATATCTGTATAACTGCAGCTAAATGGGATGCTTATGATGTGGAAAATACAGCAGGCAAAGCAGGACGGTGTCATCCTGTTTCAAAGAATTCATCCCACTTTCATCCCGGTAACCGGGCTGAAGTGATCATATGGCAAAATTTTTCAGCCGCGCTTACCGAGACAACGGTTGGAAAAACCGAGATCTCGGGAACCGAGCCAGCCCGCCTTCTCATATGAACACACCAGGGCAGTTTATACGAGGAAAAAAATAAGACGCGGACTGTACATTTATACGGGCATGCCTTATCTAAGACGAAAGCAGCTCGAATAAATGGTTCACGTCTTATTTCTGTTCTTGACTCGTTTTCATGTTAATGTTGCCCGTAGCAACGGCAATCAAACATGGCCGCGTTTCAAAGTTACGGCGTCATGTTGCGATTTGCCGCAGAGGCAATATTTTAAAGACCTTTTTAATGAAAATGGGGGAGTCTTCTCTTATGACAAAAACCCTCATTTGCCGCAGAATTATAAAAAAACAATGCTCTCTTGGAAAAGTTCAGAAGGAGCCCGAAAAAACGGCAAGAAGGAGATCGACGGAGTGGTTTGGTCGTGACTTCAAAGATATGCCGGAGGCGGAATAAATTTGTTGCTTACTTCAGGCTCATACTTGAGCGAAGAAACAAATAAAGCTTAAAAGTCTTAGAATAGATGGCAACCCAAGGAAACGAAAATACGTTGTAATTTGTAAACAACTTTTCCCTGCCAGTAGCTTGCCAGTCCACCGCGGGGCAAGCGAAAATTTTCCCCCAAAAATTAACGCATGCGTACTATGCGTTCGCGTCTTATGTAAGACGCAAAGGTCATTCATACGACGTTTTTCTCGTCCTAGCTTAGACGCGTCTTATCTAAGAACAGGTGTTAAGGGCTGTTCTTAAATAAGACGCGTCTTAGCTAAGTCGCGTCTTATTTTAGACAAAATGTGCCGTTTATATGGAAATTTGGCGTCTCATTTTTCCCCGTATAAATGGCCCTATTGAAAATTTTACAAAGGATTTAGAGATAACGGGAGATCTCGGAAATCGGGCCAGCTCGGTCAACCGGGCTCATGTGAAGAGTCCCTAAGAAAGTACAAAAAAAGTAACGCGGGGAAGTTAACCGAGGGAAGGTAAGCTCACAAGACACCAACGAGATCTTAATTTACCTTTCCAAGGTAGAAAAGCTTTTTTTCTTTCTCCGTCTACTCCTTTAGATGATCGTTTGCTGCTGTGTTTACTTCCTCGGCTGCGGCGGACTGAGCGCTAAAAAGTAAAACAAAAACTCCTGTGAGTCCAGGAAAATTCAACATACATACAGTACATACCATGTTTACAGGTAGCAATTACGATACCTGAAGGAGGATGATGAAGTTATCCCTATATTTTAAAGATCTCTCCTTACAGATAACCAACGCAGCTCAGAAAAGGTTGGCCACACCACCGGGGTCTACGTCCCCTTTTCTTTTTGAACAGTGGTGGGGGTTCTTTTACGCCCCACAACAACCGGATAAATGTAAGTGCTATGAGACGGGACATACGGTTTTTCGTCCTTAGCCGAGAAGCGAGAGGACAAGAAAGTTACACCGTTTGCAGATGTCATTACAAAGGCAGCAATTTCTTCTCAGTTATTTGAAGACCCTCGGCCCAGGTGTTTGTCCGGCCGCGGTTTCAACTCGCGACCTCCCGCTCAGCAGACCGCCGCTCTCCCAACTGAGCTAACCAGGCCGTTAAAGTTCAAGATGCAAATAAATACTGCCTCAGTCCAGTGAGTTACTTCTCACTGTTGTTTAAAGTGTAAGGAAATTATTAACTTCCTAATATGCGCTCTTCCTCAACAATGGAATGATTAAACAGCGGTGTTACGGGCACTTTACCCCACTGTTTTGACACAAACGCCAAAGGGAAAGTTTAAAACACCCATGCACATAAAGTGAGGACGCTTATCCTCGCATGAAAGAATCATATCACGCACAAAAAATTCTTAGCTTTTCACGTCAGCCTATTTTCGCATTCAGGTGAGCCTGCATCGGATAGCAAGCGTTTTCACGCGAGTTCGCGCCAAAACGTTCTCGTTACCTAGGCTACAATCAGATTTGTTCCTGACCTCTTCAGTCTTAAGCTTTCACTGCATTTTCCAGCGAAATCTTGAAATCTTCAATTTTTGGCCTAATAAACTAAAGCTACCCACATACTAAACTCGCAAACTTTGGAGAAATTATTGACTGAACAATTCGATCATCACTTGTTATGAAAGACTAATTAATCTGTGATTGGGCTGTTTAATGGGAAAGAGAGAGACAAGAGGGCGAGAAGGCTCTTTACTGCTCTCTAACCCCCCCCCCCCCAACCCCGCTACCCCCGCATCTCTCCACAACCCCCCCCCCCTTCCCACCACCAAGGAACCGTGTTTATAGCTAGAGTCAGGAGTCTATGAAGTGATGGACTGCTGCTACAGAGCTGCTAGGGTACAGTTCATTTTATTAATCAAATTGTGGTTTATCTATTTACCGTTATTTCATAAATTTATCAACAAGATCAAACGAATGCTTCTATGAAGGGATCCAGGTTTTAAATTACTACTCCATTTAGTTTGATTTTCAGTAACACTATACCCCGGTCCCTCTCGTTAAAGAGACACGGGGAACAAAGGGAATAAATAGACGTTACCGGTATCAGGAAAAAAACTTTAACTTATTAGTTTTACATATTTTGTTTACCTGTCCTTCAAGACTAAAACTGCTTCTACTGCTGCCGCTGGAAAATTCTGATTCCTCAGAGGACGGATAAAGAAAAGGAATCTAGAAAGTCAATGTTATGGGCAATCTTGTAGTTATGGTTTATGGCGTTTTAAATTCATTTAATTCTTACAATTTATTTCAAGTTCAAAAGTTAAGTTGACCTTCAAAATACCAGTACAACGTAAGAGCCCAAATGTGTCTGATAATAAAAATCCAAGCATGCAAATTTTTAACACTAATCTCAAAAAAAAAATTTTGATGCTCATTAGGAAAAACTGTATACAAATCGAGAATTTTATCTTCGGTGGTCACTTCCTTTATTCTCATCATCTAAATGGTTTTCACGCAGTGGTATTATGAGAAGAAATTGAATAAGGTCTTGATGAGGGTTTATAGGCTTAATAAAGCGAGTAGCAAATCATTCATACAGTTATAATTAACTTGTTTTATCAAGTATTTAAGAAGAAAAATTAAACTAAAACGTTTCTTTTAATCATATTTTTCTAACTTCTTCTTTAACAAAATGATTGATATTAGGCTCAGTAAAATAAAAACTAATGAAAAAAAAGAAGAACTACACGACTTACGTATTATTTTATTGATTCAATGCGGTATCAAAGAAAACAGATTTTAATGTGTTGACATTTCTTAGTTTTATCATAACATGTACAAAAAATGAAAATGACAAGAATTTGCCATTTTCACCGAGACCAAAATGCACCTCGTTTACCCACTCTCCCAAATTTCCCATAACCATTGTTTCCAATATTTACCCCCAGCTGGTTGCACCTGAAGCTTCAAGGGTACTTTTAAAGTCAAGTGCTGTAAGCATGGGCAGATTAAGGGGTTGGCCAAGGGGACTAAGGTCATACCCTTTAATATTTTTATAGACTTCTCAGTAAGTATTTCAGAGTATCTAAATAGCTGTCAAGTTTCCCGGCCACCCCTTTCTGAATTTAGCACTTCCCCCAACACTTCCTATAAGTGGATCTAGGGGTCAGCCAAGTGGACTGCACCCACCTTTCTGTAGAACTACATGTAAAAATTAGAGAAGAAGGAGAATTCAAACACCAGAAAGCTCAGAAAAATTTCTGAGCTCCAGGTGAGAATCAGACTTACAACCATCTGAGTTCTAGTTCTGATGCTCTAACCACTGAGGTACTGGAACTCTAATGGCAAGTGTCCTGGCTGTCCCTTTATGAATTGTCTGGACCCTGCCCCTGCTTCCTACCTTCCAAAAGAAGCTGCCTCTTGTTTTCAATTCTCTGTTCTCTTCTCCCTCTTCCCCAGGGAGGGGTGCTCCTTCCAAGTCAGCTACAAGGCTCTGCCTGTAAACATCAGACTTTAGAAAGCGAGGGTAGCTGTCAAATTTCATCAGCGTGTAAACCTGGAACAAACAAGCTTGTTCTCTTAACTAATGTTAGTCAGAGTAGGTCTTACCTTAATAGGCCATTTCCTTGTTCCAGAAACTCTCACTTTCAAAACGAGGCTAACTGCAAAACCTTTCTTGTGAAAATGAGTTTTATTTCCATGAGAACAAAAAATTATTTGCACATTAACCCTTTAAGTCCCAATAGTGACCAAGATCAATTTTCTCCTATCAATATCCATACATTGTCAACAGATAAGTTATGAGAATTAATAAAATGATCACCTAAGTAAAAATGCCTTGATCTTTTAACAAATTCTCTTAACTCATTCCAGGGCTCGAAACAACGGCCGGTCAATGGACAATGTCCGGACTGACTGGGGAGTTGACCAGTCAACTTTTCGTATTGCCGGTCATGTTGACCGGTCACAATCAGTTGTTTCAATTGTTATCAGTATGTAGCGAGTCGCTGTGCATTGCGAAACGTTGATATGAAATCCTGGGTGAAATACAACTAGAACCGTTGTTTACAATTCGCGCATTGAAACAGACATTAGGGTTCATGTGCTTTCGGTCACAAAATTAAAAATATTTTCACTTTTATGAGTTAAACAACAACTTCAGGGCGTCTGGTCGGTTGCGGAGAAAAAAGTCAAGTTTCGCGGGATTTTTAGAGACATTCGCAGAAAAATAGGCTGATATCGCGGGAATTTCGCGGAAATGTTCGGGACTAACTTAGGGACTAACATCGCCGAAAAACAATAGATAAAAACGGCTGATTTCGTGGGAATTTTCTGGACAAATTTCGTTAGAAATCGATCGATTTTGCGCTGATTTGACGAGCGTGTTTAAAGTTTTTTAACAGAGATAATCACTTGCTATTTTAACTACAAAGCACTCGAGAAATGAGCCAATGGCAAAGCTTTTTAAAACATCATGACTAGTGTCCAGTTGTTCCCAACATAACTTATGCCTGGTAGTTTTGGAACGTTGTTCGCTCGTTGTGGGGATGAAGTTGACGGCAATTAACAGCCCCAATGGCCGAGATAAGTTTCAAATATGTTGTATCGACATGTATTAGATAAGATTTCTTACAAATTTCGCGGCCCCTCGACCCTGCGAAATATCTGAACCCACAGCTGTTTTTTTGAAATATATAACGCCAGTTTTGGTTCATGGGCCCTTGTTTTAAGAGTTATTTATCTCATAAATTTGACTGGCCAGAAACGATAAGTGACCGAGCTAAAATGAATTTGGCCGGTCATCGTGTCTTAAGGCTCCCCGGAAATTATTTCGAGCCTTGCATTCTTTAAGGAAATGTATAGAGATCAGTTTGGAGAATTTGCATGTAGATACTGGGGCTTAAAGAGTTAATGGCTTTGCGCTTTGTCTAGGTTTGGAACAGGGGCTTGGGGCAACTCCCAAAATGGCCTCTTTCAATTAAATAACTTACAGAAATTATTACAAATTTCACATAAGGAGTTTAGTTCAAGGTATGGCCAGTTTTAGGCAGACCCTACAATTAGAGTTGTCAGAATACTACAAAGATTTGGTTTTATCAACTTCAGTTGATAGAGAAGCTAAAGTTTCGAGTGGCATATGTGGTTATAGCAGCCTTACTTATCACAAGGCAGTGTCATAAATAGACTGTCTCCATTACAATGAACTCTTTATGACAGAAACTTCACATGGAGACTTTGGAGATTTCAATAATTGTTTAAACATAAGCAGATTTAATTTTATGAAAACAGATTTTTTTTTTCAAACCTGTTGTTGCTGAAGACGAAACATATCGTTATTTGGGTTTTGTAGTTGTTCCTCGGCATCTTTCACAGCATTGCTGTCAATATTAACAGGCATTGGAGCATTGGGGGCAAGATGGTTGTGGAAGATGTTCTCTGCTTCAAATTTCAGCTGGTAAATGAAAGAAGGAGAAATGAACAATCATGTTGATCAATAATGTGATAATCACATCAATACCATAAACTTCCGCTCTGTATAAGGGATTACTTCATTAGGGGTTTTGGAGAGCTTATAACAGTACAGGGGCTGACGAATCCTGAACAGAATGGCCCTTTACTGATCCATCAATGTAAATTACTAAAATACTGGTATGTGATTTGTGATGTTTCTGTTAAATGTTATAACTGAATGTTAATAAATTATCATTATCATCAGGAAGTCTAAACTCTTCACTATGAAACGAATAGATTGAGAGGAACTTGCTTGACCATTTTCAGATGGTTTAGTTACTGGGAGGTGAATTCTACCTGCATGCAAATTATGGCAATATAATTTACAGTAGACCATGCGATTTTATAGTGACACTGGTCATTACTGACGTTAATCCAGTACAACCTACCTGTTCAAACTCGGTGAGGTTTCTAAAGTTTTCACATGCAATCCAGAAGACAATGTTTTCATCACTGAATTCTTTCTTCAAGAACTCCTGTGAGGAAAAAGACGAGGCTTTAAGAGAAGAGTTTTCTGATCAAGAGACATGTATGAAATATGCATGAATGGACAAGGGAACATGCCATATCTCACTTTACTTTTGCAGCACTTTAATTAAGTTTACAAGTTTGCATTAACTGTAAAAATTTTACGTTGCAAAAATAATAAGAGCCACCCAAAACTGCATGCATAAAAACCATCCCTAATCCTGCTTACTGTGGATAATACACAGCAGTTATTGGTGTATTTTAAAAGTGCAGTAAAGTATATGGCAAGGGTATTTGCCACTTTGAGGTTGCACAGGAGACAGGGTCCAAATGCCTGTCAAAGTGCATTGTGGGACTGTTCTGGGGGACACATTTTCAACAGGGTGGCAAATGTGTCCCCCAAAACAGCCCCACAATGCACTTTGACAACCATCTCAGCCCGGTCTCCCGCAAAACCTCAAAGTGGCGAATACAGCTTTCACAAACTCAAACCCCATGTCATTTCTATACATGCATATGAGACCACGCACAGTGCTTGGGGTAGTTAAGTTTGCTGACCAAGACCCTCACTGAGGTTTAAGAAGACGTTTACCTCCCAGTGGTTAGAGGTTCGTATCAGAATTCCCTAAGGATATCGCTTTGAATCTAATCATTGACTAAGATTATTTCAAGTCAAATAGAGCATCTTTCTCAATTTGACTCACTTTCCAGGATACCACCAATAAGCAGTTGAAGCAGTCTCAGACTGTAAGTAAATACAGTCAAACCTTCTGTAAGGGATCATCCAAAATGTAAAAACGAGCCCTTTGTTTATTTTGGGAGATAACCGGTTACCTGCACACATAGTTTCACATTGCCACTAAAACATGAAACATGCCATCAAAAGGCGTTATCCCATGAAGTGGTCACAGTCGCTTAAGAGAGGAGAACAACTGTAGTGATTTTACCATGATATTTTGGATCAGGATGGGTAGTCATGTATGAGAGGTGGTTCCTTATGACAGGTGGTCGCACATGGAGGTCGAGACCGTATAATAATATTACTATTATTGCACAGTACCTTGAAACAGCCCAGACCGGCAGGATCCTCCATCAGCTTGTCAAACCCAAGAGCCCAACGACTCACGCGACCGTCGACTTGTGACATGTCACCGGGCATGCTACTTAAACTATGAATGCTCTGAGTGCTGGAACTGATGCTTTCAGTTGCATTTAAGTTCTTCTTTACTAATGAGCAACCTAGGACTGTAAGGGATACAAAATATAATTTTCTTTAAATGACATTATTTTTTTTATTTACCAAGCATTTTAAGATCAACTTAAGTGTAGCCATTGTTATTTTTTCGTCTTTGTTGTTTTCTGTGATCAAAATTGTACCAGAGTTAGTACAAAAGACTCAAGTTTTTATCATTCCCAAAAATCTCTTTCAAAATCACAAGGTTTACTGTAAAATGAAACCATTTAAGTTGTAAGTTCTATTATTGTGATTCAAACAACAAACCACTGGATGGTAAACAGCTCATATTCACTGGTTACATTGGAGTGTGGGTTACTCAGAAAACATTGATTCATCAACAGATTCCAAATTAAGCAGCAAATTGCCTGCCAGCATTTGCCCAACAGTTGTCAACAAAATAGCAACAACAAGAATATTCATGTTGTCACAGCACCTGATAACAACTCAGGGAATGGTATAAATAATTTTATGACACTGGTGATACTGAATTTATGTTTTTAAATCAAGTTCAGTAAAATGAAAAAGATCTGGCACTTAAAGAGAAGTGCGATAGCACTAAGATCTTTTCACAATCAAGCAATACCATTTCCCATGATGAAGGCTGTACCAGTGACACTTGCACACACTGCCGTGAGTAAACTTCACCTTTCAATTATTATTTTTCATATTATAAAATGTATAAATAGCCAGCCATATGTCTTTGGATTACAGTTTTCTTGGAAGCAAATACTACTTTAGTCCAATAATAAGAAAGCTGTCATCTGAGGAAATAAAATTTTCCATTTCAGATGGCTAGGCTACAAGCAGTTACAAATTCAACTTTTGTTACAGCAAGATTTTAATGCTCCTGTCATGAGGTCATCAGAATGGGATCATGTGATTGGAATCAAGAAAATATTTATTTCAGTTTTGAACTTAACACAAGCATGTATATATATATAAATAACACTGTTGAATGATTCAAGGTACATTTACTCAGTCAAGAAATTAAGGTTAGCACATTAATACCAAAGTATGCAAAAATATTACCACTGGTACATGTAATTCAGGTTATAATTTAATTTATAGGATAAGATGAAGAGAAGGAAACATTAGCCCATAGAAACTGAATAAAACATCTCAACAAAACTGTCAAACCACAGTTTACAGTTGTCAAAATCACAAAAACCACAAGCTAAAACGATCAAAAAGGGCAAATTTCAATAAATGTTCACTCTAGTTTTCAACATAAGTAATATTGTGGAGGTCATTGAGATAGATTTAAAATAAATTAAATGCAGAAGTGTTAGGGTTGGGTTGGACCTTTTTATGAATGGACCAAAAGAGCAAAAATGAAGAGAGGATATGCGCATATAATAAAAACCTGAAACCAACATTTTTTTATCAAGAAAAAAAAAAAATGAAAATTTTACGGTCAGAAAAGGTAAACCTGACAAGCACTAATTAAACATATAACCAGTAGAAAATGAAAATGAAAAACCCCAGATTATTCAAGAAAACCTCTCTTTAAAAAAAATAGTTCAAACTTCAAAGCTTAAAATCCAAGTTAGTGTCCCTCTTGAAAAGCAACTCATTATCACTGACTTTCTTGCACCTGGATCGGCTAATCACAGATAAAGAGGCCTTTTTAAAAGTCCAATTCCAGTTGTGTGGGATGACTAGATTTTCCTGTCAGGCAAGTAACCTCTCATGTTAAGTTGTCCACTGAGCAAGTCAGCAATCAGCAATGAGCCGGGCACGTCACCTTCTCATAATTAAACATAAACTTAGAGATACGCTTTCAATGACCCCAGACAAGCAACCCAGCAAGGAAAATGCTGGAATTCATGTTTCTTGATGACATTGCCCTGAGATGCAAGATAAATACCCCTTCTAATAAAATGAGAACCTGCAATTCAACATACAACAAATGCTTAGAAGAGAATAGCTTTAAGTACATTATATCACATGCACTTACCAATATCAGAATGAGCCAGGGACTGAAATATAAGAAAACAAGGATAAAGAGGTTATAAATGATGCAAGTCTGAGTCAGAGAGTCAGAGTCTTGAGTCAGACAAGTATTTGTATTACTAAGACTGCCTTGTGTACCCTACAATCACTTGTTAACCCAAGGCATATCTTCATTATTGTTGTACATATGTCATATGAAGTGTGGCATCTGACATATAACTCCACAAACCTTGGAGTCTTGGAGTATGTCAGACCTGTCGTCAATTTTACTCCACAAAATTTAGATTAGAAAAAAAGATACAAACTTTTCTTGGTGGTGATACTAGTTGTCATGTCAAGAGTGGGAGACAACAAGAACATTGATGCATTAAACATTTATTTGTATATTACTACACAAAAAAGTCAACTAATTTAAATTAATCATTCCTAGGATCTTGATTTATTTTCTAAAAAGAGGCTGTACTCCCAAAGCCATCTTAAGGTAAGATGAATATGTATCTACAAGTATTGTCTCAAAACAAGGAGCCACTCTTGAGAAGCAGTCTTAGGAAGTGATCTAATAACTAGGGAGGAATTTGTAAATCTGCTCTTGAAGAGCAGTTCCACTGGCTGTTTCGTTGAAGAAAAATAATTCAGAAATTATTTTTAATTAATTATATTCATGTGAGTCGGCAAATATTACTGAATGAAAGCACTTATCCATTGGAAGTGTGAATTTCATATGTCATTAATTTATAAATAACTATAACAACAGAGTCTATGATCTTTACAACCACTGGGGTGTAATTGTACAATTTATTGTATAGAACTTATAACATTGCTTAAAATGCAGCATGAATTTCGGGAAGGATGAAGTGTTTTAACAATTAAATTTTACAATAATAAACAACACTTTGTTCCTTTACTACAGTGTAGTTAGATAGCTTGGCAAATTCTGAACAGTTTCTATTCAGACAACTCTCATGAGAAGTGAAAATGTTTTCACTTTATCATAACTGTATAATCAAATGCTGGTATGTAAATATTGAATACTGCCGACATACAGTCAACAGAAGTCAGGCTTTTCCACCGGAAAAACCCTTGAAATTCCTTACAATAACGAATTAACTTTGAGGAATAAAAATAAAGGCAATGTTATTCAGCAAGGCAAGAATTTTTTGCCTCTAGCTTGAACTCAATTAGCCATATTCAAAAAATATTATTAAGGTTTGCTGCTTTTGTTTCACTGCATGACTACATAGTATTGTTTTTGAATTGAGCTATTGTTCATGACACAATTACAAAAAACAAGACACTGACCTTGAAAGGCTCTTAGACATAAACAAAGCCAGCTGCAATTCGGTTTATGCATTTTGTTTTGGGCATACGTAACACATAGCCTTGATTAGTGCTCCAGTGGTCTTCAAATGGAATGCAAAACTCAATGACATCTCAGTTATGTTTACAAATTTCATTAACAAAAACCCCAAGGGAATGCCAAGTAGCTTGCATTATCATTGAATACCTGGATTAGTCTATTGCTTGAATGATCAATACTTCAAAGGGGAAGCGAAGGACAATAGTTTTACCACCAAAATAGCCTATCTGAAGCCTTAGACCAAAATAGCTTATCTGAAGCTGTCATGAAAATGCTCTCCACTAAAATTCCAATTAGTTGAATTTCATCATCAAAATTGAAGTTGATACTGTTTATCACTTTCAAGAATCTCATGCCAATATTTATTACAGCTAATGATCGTCAATTTGTTTAAATTCCTAATAAGTCCAATATTTTTATTCTGCATAATTCAGGTTATAGCAGTTGTATACAAAAATATATCTTTGCTACGTCTAGTATGCCTCATCTAAATTTCTTCCTTTTTAACACGGTCTTAATGAATGAATATCATCAAAGAAAAGAATAGAATTTGCTTCCTTAACAGATACATGTAATTTTATATTACTATTTTAAATCATCACATTATTAGGAGACATCACTAATTGGATGAAATATCTCACTGACTTAATTCTTTTCACTGAAGCTGGAAAAATATCACAAAAACTTTACGTTAAATGTTTTATTTAGCATATTAATGTAGCCTGAAGTTATTATTTACAAACAAAAACTGTAAAAGAGTTGGACACAGTTACAACAATATGTATTGCTCCCCTTATAAAGGCAAAAGACATGATGTTTAGAACCCTTGACACATGTTTCACAATATTGCACTTAAGCTGTTTATTTTAAATGATTTTTGTCAAAATACAATATATGAAAGCAATGTACACATAGTAAACCACAGGCAAGAGAAAAAGAAAATTCAAGTCAACCTTATCCATTAAAAGATATTTCCCAACTACAGCAAGTAACAGTGTACAAGTAGAGCTATGTGTTTAAAGACTACTTATCCTTTCTAAAAAATAAACAAAAAATAATTACTATTTATTAAACACTGCAAATGGCCACACTGATGAAAGTATTTTAAGCAAACTTAAGCCTTGTTACCAAATGAGGTTCTGAGTTTACCAGTAAATTTTACTGATTGCGTCTGAATTTAAAAGCAAGTTATTAAAAGAAAAAATCATGTTCCATGGCTTAAACGTTTAGAAATATTATGAGACTGGCAGAGATTTCTTTTAGGCACGGGTTTTAGCTTTTATGAAGTCATTACGCATTGCTAGCAGTCACACAGGTTGACAAAAAACTTATGCCTCAAAGCATATTATGTTACCGTATAGACATCAGGAATCTGACAAATTTTTTAACTTAAACCAATTCTTGACTAATTCAGCCTCACACATTACAGACTAAAACAACATTTTTTATTTAAACAGATTGTAAAGAAATCCTGGATTAATAATTTATAACATTAACTGCCTTATCCAAACAATCAATAATTAATCAACTAGGACATAATATTATATTCAACAATTTCAACTTCAATCACCATGTAAGATGTCATGTAAAAGGCAGGCAAGTTTCCTATTTCAAAACTTAAACTAAACATAAAAAGTGTTTGCGCTTACACTGTATTATAACACAAGCATTTTAAAACATTACTTTTTGAATGTACACAACAATAAGTAATTTTTGTTGGGTATTTTGTGCTTGCCTTTGCTTTAGCTTTTGCAAAAAACATGACGAAGGTGATGCTGATCTATTCCTATTGATTAATCATAATAATATTGCCTCTACAAACAGAAATCAATTAAGAAGTGTCAACATTTTATTGTTTAATTCAACTTCAATCCCTACCTAAAGTGCCACTTATGCAAATAACAGTTGAGCAATGTTTCAACAGCAGTAATTTTAAACCCATCACACCTGATTTATGTGTGGCAAAATTTGACTCCTGATCAAGATGCCAAGTCAGTTTCAAATTATTAGTATTCTACTTGTTTAACCCAACTGTTGGAAAGCAGAATTCAGAGAAACAATTACGTGGATCTACTGAACTTTGTAAGGACGTGTAAAAAAACAAGGTCATATCAAATAATATTGATTCACGATGGAAAATTTCCTTGAGCATCTTTTTTTTTTTTACTGTGACCTGAACTACTGTATTTGGCAGTCATGCACAAGTTTGAGGCTAAATACAAGTGTTTCATCATTCATAACAATAAATTGTGCTTCCATTACAATTATATACCACTATCAGCAAAGTTTTAGCCAGAAGGGTGTCCAGCCATCCGACGGACACCCATTTTTGGAAGATATACAAGGAAAATTCACTTAATCAAGGGAAAACATGCCTTCTGGACAGCCCGTTTTCATGTCTGGCTAAAAGCCTGACTACCAGGCAAGGCTCTGCTCTTGGAAAAATTATAAGGAGACCAGTGCTCTGAACCTGTGAAATCCAGGGTACAGTAAACAGCATTTTGATTTCTATGCAAAAGCTAAGATTTCCTAGTCACCCAAGGGCAGAAGTAAGACACCAGGGGTGCAGGTACAGATAGAGTACAGCCCCTTCATCTGACTGAGTCATCAACAGCTGGCGGTATTGTGTGGGTGCGAGATTAAAGTTTTGGCGGCGGAGCCGTGTTCCAAAAAAAGGGAGTAGGGACGAGGCGGTTGAAATACCGCCTGCCAGAAAACCCCGGTATTTTGAAAAGTCCGCACACCAGTGTGCGGGGAAACGGATTGGTCGAGGGCCATACATATGTCAATCATGTTAGATGAGCCTTCCCATATATTTCCCAATTTAGGGAGCAGATGTCAAACTGGAAAATACGTACATGTAAAGTGATTGTGATTTATTGATGACCAAATTGCCGAAATGGCATCTTTAAACTTCACAGCGCTGGAATTGTCTTTATTTAGCCGTAAGAAACAGAGGTCAAAGAAAATTAAAACACTTTACAACTGCATCTGAGATCAAATCATATCAGGAACACCTACAGAAGAATAAACCACCGGTAATGGTTACTCAGTATGCATGTAAGCTTCATGACCTTTTAATGTTAAGCCTAGTGTTGCAAAAAAAGATTTACTCAGTCAAAGTTTAGAATGATACATGCACTGTGTAGTGCTAGTAACCTTCGAGCGAGAGCAGAGAAAATAAAAAAACCTCTGTTCCAGCAAACTCACAAGGTCACGTTTCACATTATCACGAGCTTAGGAGTCGTGTTTAGCCTGTCAACGCTTATTTCTAAACTGTCTCGCACGAAAATAATCGGAAGCTTCAAATTGCAGGTATCTCTTTGATTGGCTGATTTAATTGGGATCAGCTAACGTGACAAAAGTGGGCGGCATTCAAAAAATCATGGTCCTCTGGCAGGCGGTATTTCTCGCGGCTTCGCCGCTCGTGACGGCTCCGCCATCAAATCGTACTCGTACAATGGCTCCGCCGCCAAATCTCGCTTGACTACTACACAATACCGCCAGCTACGCAGGCTATGCTGACATTGAATTTCTGGTGCTTTAAAAAAAACATTTGCACCGACATGTACAATATACCATTGTGTATATTAGTCACTTGACTCATTAAATTGAGGAACATTCAAAACATTAATTTGTGGTCTCATTGCAGAATACCTCCAGTGTGGGAAATGTTGTATACTGCACTTTGAATTGAACACAAAATTTAACTGTTGCAGAGCCAAATTTACCAATCTGGAGCATAAATACCATTAGTATGTCAGTTTACAGCTGTGCTTGATAATAAGCTAAGCTTACTGTAATCAGGACCCGTACAGATATTTGGATTTAAAATTCAAGACTTTTTCCAGACTTTCTTCAAAACAATAATTTCTCTTTCTAGACTCAAGGTTATCAAATACATGATCAATGGAGCTATTTTCATGGTGTGCTACAAACATATGGGTGAGTTTGAATAAGACTTGACCAAAATGAAAAACAAATCCCTTCTAAAGCACTTGTTTGAGCTTTGCAAAAAAAAAAAAAAAACAGACTTTTTACCATTTTTCCAGACTAAATCTACATTTCCTGGACAAATGTCAAGACTTTTTCAAGAATTCAAGACGCTGTACGGACCCTGTGTAATTTACTGTAGATGCTTACCTCTTGAGAATTGCTGAGATGTCTCTCTTTAGATCCCATCTCTTCACTGTCTGAGTTTCTGCGAGGTTTCCTTAGAATGCCAGATGGCACTCCAGTTAGTGGATCATAATGTGATCCCAATGAAAACTGCGAATCTACTGAGCTCTCACGAGAATGAAATGATGAGACACTAACCACTGGGGGAGGAGGTCTCCGAGAGTTACTTTCTTTGGAGAAAGTAGCACCATTAACAGCTTCAGTGTCATTTTGAGGGTAAGAATCAGATCCAATACCAGAGTCATTTCTCTCGGCAGGATGAACTTGCTGATTGAAGGATAAAACTCCTTCTTGTTCTTTGTCTGTTTCTCCTTTTTGTCTATATTTGGAATCATTAGGTGAAATATGTTTTATAGACTGAGACGACTGAAGATCTTGCTGAAGTCCATTAACTGCCTGATTGTTTGCAAAGTCAATTGTCGGGGGTTGACTTTTTACATCATTGCGGTGTCTAACAGCATCTGACTCTGATTGACTGGATGACAATGATGCAGACCGTACTCGCACATTTGTGAACACTTCCCCCTCACTACTTGTTCCACCAGATTCAGAGCCTGTTCTCTCCTTAAACATTCCAGTAATGGTCTTTAGAATGGTGCTGGATGACCCAGGAAATTCAGCACAGCCACCGTCTACTCCCAGAGGGGTGCACTGTATTCTGTACTTTTCAGCTACATGTTGGTGAGTCTCATGACTTCTCAATTCAGGATCAACTGAGAACACATGGCAAGAACAATTCACAGTACTTTGCAGATCAATTTTGTGGTTATTTTGGGCATGCCAGCTGTTCAATGGGTTAATGACTTTTTCTGGTTCATTACTTTTTCTAGTCACTATACCAAAGACCCTTTTATCGTCTGAACAGAGCGCAGTGAAGGCCAGGGACTTCAAAGGGTACGTGACAACAGATCTCTTCTCGCTGTCAACAAGTTGTATACCTGTCAATGAAATTTCCATGACGAAAATATTGTGAACTTTCTGCTGCGCTCTGAGACGGCGTACACAATTACGAATCGCGGTCAAACTTGCGGCTGGCAAACTCGATGCAGCCGGCAACTCAATTGAGCCTAAATAGCCGACAATCACCCGCAATTCCGGTTCAAAACCGATATTCGCTGGACTGTGATTTCTCAATGGCGTCATAGTTGGATAGAGCAGCCGTGATAACTGTGGAGAAGACGAATTTGAGCCGACATCTCCTTCGCTGGAGCGTCTGCTACTGGCATAACTCTGGGCAGGAGAAGAGCCCGGGAAAGAACTTTCTGACCTTATGCTTTCACAAAACGATGCTTTCAGTTCTTCGTCACTCACGACCTCTTCCGCGGAAATGAATTTTCCACTGGAAAGAGTTTGGCGGAGTTTCGAAGAATCCCCGAACAGTTGCCCTGATCTCAATTCTTCTACGACTTTATCCACTCTGTTGATTATTGCCTCTTCGACCACTTTTTCTTCTGAAATCTCATAGTTGATTTTATCGCCATTCACCGCTGTTCTTTGAATCTCAGCACGCTTTCGAACCCCGAGTCGAACCATCCCGTTCGTCGAACTTGCTATCAATTTGACAACTTGTTCATGAGGTGTCTTCTGTACAGAGGTTCCATTCACTTCAATTATCTGATCACCCGGCTTCAAACCAGCTCTGTGAGCGGGGCTTCCCGCTAAAATACAACTTAGCACGCAAGGTCCTTGGCTAGAAAGAGTAAAGCCAAAACCTTCAGGTTTCCGGTACAATTCTACAGTTCGAATAGGAATCTCCTTGTACAGCGTTTCAGTTGACGGTTGCATTGCGTAGGGAAATTCCAGTTAGATTACTTTGCACATATGAAGATTTGTTATTGCTTCTTGAAAACCACATATTAAGACAAAACCAAACCTTAAGTGATTTCTTTATCAAGCCATACCAACGCAGCCATAAATGCTCTCCAACCACATAAAATTTCCACCGCCGAAAATTAAAAATAACAAAGACGTTCGTCGATGCACATCTATAGGTCCACACCTCGCAAAATGTCAATAAATCTCTCACTATCTTCCATATTGTCCGTCACTGATGAAATGAACACTCTCGCAGATACTTAACGGCTTGTTAGGTTCTTTAAGTTTCCAATAAACTCGAAAAAAAGCGATTCACAAAGTGAATTGTGTGTATAAAAAAGGTTTCGAGATTTATTGTTTGAGCAAAGATTAACGTAACTGACTACGTCACGTGGGAAGGGAGGAAATTTACGCTTTCTGATTGGACGGTTATTGATTGGTTGTATATAAATTTGCGGGGGCAAAGAGTTCGTGACACTGTCATTTGCTTTTCACAAATACATAACAAATATACAAACATTTCAATTGAAAACTCAATACAGCCGCTTTCTCTTAACTTGCTTTTCTTTATTGTCTTTTTCATCTTAGAGAGAATAAAGATTCTTAGGATCGATTCAAAGCGAAATGAATCATTTCGAAGATTGGTAAATTATTTTAGCCTAATTGGCAATTAAGGCAATAATGGATCGCAAAGAAAATATTCCGGCATATCGTAAAATATTCTGCGGAAGTAAATAAACAGTGAAAATTGCTTTTGAAGCATTTTATTGAAAGAGGAATTGTTGTTGGTATAAGATTTTTAAGATTAGGTTAAACAAATGTCAACGACCGAGCTGAGATTAATGGGCGCAATGTAAAGTTTAAGTGAAATGACCTTTCTTTCTGTTCTTTTGCTGATCTTCGCTGAGGGTCCCAAAAAGAACCAAAATGTAAACTCCTTTATTACCGTCATCCCCAACCCAAATTTTCGCCCAATTCCGTAATCCCGATGGGTTATCATCGGCTGTGATCCTCTCGGGGGGAAGGGGGGGGGGGCACTTGGGTATTTTTTGGGTGGGTATGTGCCGCCCGGGACTCCAAATTGGCACCCCGTTGTAAAAAAAAAATTTCCCTAAAACTGATACCCCGTTCTAGAAATGGGCCAAATTTTTTATACTCCGTTCTTGAAAGTCTGTAAATTAAAATAGCCCTGTTTTTTTAAAAGATATTTCTTTATTTGTTCGACTTATACATCAAATTAAATGCTTCTTCATAATCAGCAACAATTTTAAGCAGAAGATAAATGGTCGCTTACAAAACTGGAGCTCTCGTGTGTTCGAAATATTATACCCCGTTTTAGAAAACGCCTCTGAAATGGATACCCCGTTCTAAATCAGGAGCTTCAAAATGACGACCCCATTGGGCGGCACATACCTGTATAGGTAATGTATGGGAATACTGTACAGTACCGCAAATGATCCCCAACCGCAAATGATCCCGAGACCACAAATGATCTCCAAAATGGACCGCAAATGATCCTCGACCGCAAGTGATCCTTAAAGTCGACCGCAAATGATCCCGAAAGAAAATTAGGAATGACTTGGACTCAAGTTAGCGGATCATCGTGTCGATTTTATTATTATTACAATAAGTCAGATTAAAAGCTAAATTTTACTTCTCAAATAAATGTATGAATAAAAACTAAATGAAAAAAAATCATTCAAGTGCAAAAACGAAGTCGGTCTTTTACCTCATGCTAAAATGTAGCCTCCCCGCAGACGTCCTTTGGGGTTCGTTTGTCACGCATTCATTTCTCCCCCACGGACGTCTGCTAATGACAGCCTACATTTACGTTCACCAATTAAATGAATGCGTGACTAATGAACCCCAAAGGACGTCTGCGGGGAGGCTAGCTGAAATGCTGCTTGTTCCAATGACTTTTTTCCGGCTCTGGCGGGTAGATTATACCTCTGAAGAAAACGTTTTGACTGAGCAAATGTGATTTTTGCCGCTTATTTCATACTGAGAGGTCATGACACGCATTTTCTACAGTTATCGTTGTTTCTGGTCGGCAACATTTGCCCTTTGATGCAAGAGCATTTCCTTTGACCTCTTTTGAAATGCAGTGCTTTTCATTGCCGCTAAAAAGGGGTTTTAGGTTGTTTAATTTTCTCCAAAGTGCCTCCTGGATCCGAATAATCATAAGCGATTTGTTTTTAGTCCGTGAATGTGACGGTTTCCTACGATGTTTTGTCACGCGACAACTACCGCTTACTTGGCTTTGCGTTTCTCATTACCAGGTTTAGATTCCTGGTAACTGTCTTCAGCAAAGGCGCAACAAATGAATATACATAAAAGCGCCAATATAACTATTCACAACACGTTCATGAGCTGTAAGAAAGTTGCTATTTCGAAATAAACTGAAACCTGTGGACATTAAGTTCGGGGGCATTTTGACTTGTGTTTATGTTAAATCATATCTTGTATCGTAACGGGCACCTAAGTTACGAACAAATGTCTCGCTGTTTATCACGTAAAATTAACACTTCAGAGAAAAATCAAATAAAATATTCTGGCTGATTAATTTCACGCTTTCAAAAGGATCAGTAAAGTCAATAAAGCTCTTGTTATGTAGAGGGTGCCCAGCTATGTATTCCTTAATAGAAAAGTTGAGCTTCTAGGTGTTAAAATAATAGAGTTTTTTCTGCGTAACGTCCTGCCTGTCTTAAATTTTTCAAAAGACGAAACATTCTTGAAAGAAAATTGAAGCAATCGACAAAGGAAGAAGTATACGGTTAATACCATACTTTTTCAGATTGATTCCATTTTTTTTTTTTTCGCCTTGTATAAATTGACCTGAGATGTAGCGTCCTCCTTCCCTTTTTCTTTAAAAGGCGAGAGAAAAAGGTTTCCTTTTTTTATAATCAGTCCTTTTTTGTAATCAGTCCCACAAATCCATTCCATTCCTCAAGTTTTCACGGGATCATTTGCGGTCGACTTTGGGGATCACTTGCGGTCGACTTTGGGGATCACTTGCGATCGAGGATCATTTGCGGTCCATTTTGGGGATCATTTGCGGTCTCGGGATCATTTGCGGTTAGGGATCATTTGCGGTACTGTACAGTACCCCCCCTCCCGGGTGACCCTAAATTGGAAGGTCGGGGGCGGCGGGAGAGGGTTACTCGACCAATATTTGGGTATAGGGGAGGCGCAAAGGGTTTGAAACCCTGACTCTGTTTAGGACAAAAAAATCCTAAAATACATATCCTGTTTAGGACGACACCCTCCATTTTATCACCCTGTTCAGTACAAAGGACAAACTGCACGCTGTCTTGTTTCAAAGCCGTTTATTAGTAATTCACTGTGATGGGAGCAAAATCACGTTAAAGCCATCATGCTTTTGTTTACCTGAAGTACAAGCAAAATTCATCAAACAAATCAAATCAATCATGCAGGCAGTACTCTTCGGACAGACTCACAAAATTATACACCTTGTTTAAGATAGAGAGGTAAAAAACTGTACCCTGGAGCTGCACATCCCCGTATAGGCCATATAGGGAGTACTCCCCCCCCGGGTTCCAGATTCCTTCTTCTCTGGACATGCCCGAGAAGTGGAGCCCAGTTGAAGAAGGCACTTAACAGGGTCGAGAAAATTGTGGCCATTTTCTTTTAACTCTGTTAATTATTAAAGTCAAAATGAAAGGATCATCGGTTAGCCACTTTTTTAATAACCCACTATCGTTACCGGAACAACATTAATTTTCCGGAATCTCGTAACATAGAATCGCCAAATCCTCTGTTCAGTGCGTATTTACGATCCCGAATGTCGCCCCTCCCCCTCCCCCTCAGACCTCAACAATTTTGCTATTCGCCATTTTCACATAGACCATAGTGCACCTTGTTTACCCCCCAAAACTTTGCATAACCATTGTCTTGGATTTCTCTTGGGACGACTGTGATACCCAGGAGAAATTGGAAACAATGGTTACACAAAATTTTGGAAGGTGCATTATGGTGTGTGTGAAAGTAGTGAATAAATGCACTAGATTCATATTTGACACCTGTCCTTCCTGAGATTCTAGGCGATGCCTGATATTTATGTATTAAGTAAGACCAAACGCTACAATTTGCACCCCTAAGCAAGGCGAAGGGTATCCCCGTCGTACCCCAACGTCCCCTCTTCTCATGGCGTTAAAGACCAAGATTTGTTCAAAGTCAGGCTGGACGACCATGACTTCGCTAGGATCATATATACCAGTCACAAAAGATGCAGCAGATAAGAGATGTCGGTATGAGAAAAATTTCGGACGGTTCTCCATAGCCGAGAAAGTTCTCTTGTTGCTTTGGGACTAATTCAGAGGCCGCTCTCAGCAGGGGGGGGGGGGGGGGGGTGGGGGCAAACTGCTCAACAGCCAAATTTAGTTATTTCTATCAGTTTGGATTGCCTCTATCGATTGTCGTAACGCCGTGCATTAATTATAACCAGTGACTGAAAACTGTTTCAAAAGAAAACAATTATAAATTAATGTGTCATAGTGCAGTTTTGGTAGGTAGTTATAACCCGAACTGTATTATTGTGTAAAGCTCGCCATTAATTTCGAGTCTGACAACAAGCTTTTCTGGAGTTTCTTTTTCCGGGACCATTTCCCAGCCGTTATCGATTCACTTCGATTTAATTTCCGTCTCAGTGCCCTCTCGCCTTCCCTGGTGAAGGTTTTTTACTCATCTGACGGCATCAACAAAAGCGCGTGTAAGATCACGTCAAGCTACAATGCACATGCAAACAACAACAGCAACAAAACGAAAAAGAAAGGCAGGAGGAAAGGAAGGAAGAAAAGAAGGAAAGAAGAAAAGAAAAGAAAAAATAAGCGCAAGTTACGTGGTAACAACACAACAACGGACGCTGAAGAATTCGAGCTATTGATAACTCACTGCGCGATAAATTAGCAGAGAATGGAGGTTAAAAAACTTGGTGTCGAGTTGCTAAATTTCTCACTCGATATAGAAAATGAAGAGGTTATGTAAGCACCGAACTGATGAAACAAAAGCACAGATGTTGCCAAAGAATGCGGGGAAAAAGAAGAAGCTCTTAGGAGTGGTAAGATAAGGGTTTAAAGTCTCAGAATGACTCAAAATGATCACGCACCTCTTTGATGAATGTTTTTT